AGACAATCCAGTGATTGATATCATGAGCATCGATCCACGCAATTGGGATCGATAACATGCATGAACCAAGTCAGCGAGCCTGACCACCAGATCCCGTTTGTCGCCTCTTACGACAAACATAGTCGGTTTGTACAGGGGGATGTTTAGAACTCTGATATATTTAATGCCTGGTTCATGAAGAATGAACCGTGAGGGGGGGGGGGGGGGCGGATAGTGAGCTTCTAGGACTCCATTTTCTTTGTCAGTAAGTTCTAGGTGGGTATACGGTAGCTGCATGGTCTGTGTCGCAATGCTGGATAGCTTGGGGTGGGGGGGGGGGGGGGGGGGGGGTGTTTAGGGAGTGTTTGCGCTGAACTGACGAAATAAGAGTCAAAACCAGTGAACACTCTGTGAACCCGCCGGTTCGGTGACAGGTTAGTACTAACGCAGGTGTTTGCGTGTGTAACAGGCTGGTACTTACTTACTTACTTATATTGGAGATTTTACGTGCGCAAGAAATCATGACACGCAACAATTTCATGTCGCTGCCTAGGGCCCTGGTTTCAATACTAGAATCCCTTATGTCTGAGACGTATTTAGCAAACGAACCAAACAAACACCTGTTTATACCATGGTTCAATGTATAGGCAAAGGGCGATTTGATCACGAGATCCATTCCTTCCAAGATCTAAATTCTAACCTCACCTCTGCAAAAGATGACGGCATCAACCTCACAGCGTAATTCATCAGCAAAACTACAGTCAACCCCACAAAGAAGAAATACTCCCCGCTCACTCAATAGGATTACCAGTTTGCTACTCTCCTACTATTAGGACATTTGGTCCATGCGCCATAAATCGCAACAACACCTGGCGACATTGACATCAGGAGATACCCAAAAAGCCATGAACCGTGACATTTTTTTAAACTTGAAAATTGTCGCATTGTCGCCCTTTGGCAAAGTAAAAAAATATTTTTCAACTGCGCGACAATGCGACAACGCGACAAATGGCCAAAATGTCGCGTTGTCGCATTGTCGCGCTTTGGTTAATTTTGACACTTTTTGTTTGTTTTTGTTAGTACGACAATGCGAAAACGCCTCAAATGGCCAAAATGTCGCGTTGTCGCATTGTCGCGCTTTGGTTTATTTGGACACTTTTTGTATATTTTCGTAAGGGAGGCAATGCGACAACGCGACAATGTCCCTTCTAGGATTCCATTGTACTGGGACATCCTTCTTGTCAGAGTCAGATTAATTTATTTACTCAAAACCACCCACGGTGGTACAAGAGTTTAATAGATAATTAACATTTAATAAATATCAAAAAAGACACAATTTATGGATAACAACTTCTTTATTTATTCCTTAAGGCGACGTTTCGGTATAGATCCTAATACCGTTGTCAAGCAAGGCTACTTTGTCAGCAATGCCTATCAATCAATTCATTGGATAAATATACATAGAACAATTTAAGACATGGTATAGTATACATATATTGTATGTTTAAATTAACATTAGGATGTCCCTGATACGTCGAATTTGGAAGTGACCTCCACGTCTACCATGGTTACATTACAGCCTGTCTGCATAGTGTGGAAGGAAAGCCCAAGTGGCTTTCAAAATGAACTTCTTAGGAAAGTAACATTCTCTTCAAACAAACTTTTTGAAACAGAATATACTTTTGACTGGCAGATGACAGTGGACGGTGTGCCCTTGGTGTCTGTGTTGTTCAATGTTGTACTTAAGATAAATTTGAAGGTCATACAGAAAGGCATGACGTTATGAACAGTTATGCTCTACATTCAAAACACGTTATCTTATTTTTCCATTGAACCGTGGCAAACTTGATCATGAATTGCAAACTCTTCTGTGTTCGCGAATGAGAGATAAGAATTTCTGGCGAATATGTGTGGTACTACGGTAACTAGATTTTGGATTTGAATTTAGGAATCATCGTTGATCGCCTTTTGTTTGTTTGTGTGTTGTTTAACGCCGCATTCAGCAATATTCCAGCTATATGACGGAGGTATGTAAATAATCGAGTCTGGATCAGACAATCCAGTGATTGACAATATGAGCATCGATCTACGGAATCGGGATACGATGACATGCATCAACCAGGTCAACGAGAGTGACTACCCGATCCCGTTAGTCGTCTCTTACGTCTTTTAACGTAGTATGTTGTGGTGTGTACTCAAACGCTACTTTTTCGACAGGTGCTTGACTCGCGTTAAAATGTATTTTGCACATCTACCTTGTAGCAATCATATGTGGACATCCCCAGGGAAAATCTTCGAAACCACATACCACCGATATGAAGTCACAACGCTACACAGACGGGGCATATTAGCATGGTGACGCAAAAAATGTTCGACATCAGAGTTTGAGCTGGAGAAGCACAGAATATCAACCCCTCTGTTGTTCGGGAAATGTGTTAGAAAGGGCACCCGATTTTCCATGCTTGTCACATTAGAAAGCGCCGACTTGAATGGGATTCAGTTGTTCAGGTTTTGTAACTTTGATTGTATGTCATGGTATCCCGGCGTCATTGGACGTTGCTCATGCTACCAACCACTGGTTTGCATAGACCGGACTGGATTATTTACAGGCCGCCGTGATGTAGCTGGAGCACTGCTGATTGTTGCTGAAGACAATAGTCGCTGACTCGCTTGATTTAGGTCTGCAATGTGTCAGACTTTTCACGTGTATCTAAAGCAAACATCAGTTCTTCATTTGCCGTCAGGCCTTGATGATTGTTGGGGATAGAGTGTCGGAGTGGTTTATCTACAGGACCTGCTACTACCATTCGGGAAAGCGATTGTACTACCGAATCTATAGTCAGTACAGCCCATTACACGAGTAGTGTTTGTGTCATTAATATGTGAGCGGTGGGATAGCCTTGTCAACAAGTTTATGCTTCAAGTCGTATGGACGTATTAGACGCCCTACATGAGTATAATGTGTGAAGCCCACTTCCGGTAACACCCGACGTTGTAAGGCTGGAATATTGCTAAGAGCGACGTCAAATCTTCATATTGGATCTCCTGACATGCAAAGGCGGATCCGGGATTTTGAAGAAGGTGGGGCACAGGACACCCACGTGGATCCGCCAGTGAACATGTATGTCTCCACCAGGTGTCCACTTAGCGTCGGGAAACAGGGAGACGGGTTGACTAGGATACCGCAATTCCTTGAGAGCTCAGCCGTGCCGGAATCTTCGGTTCGAATTTGAGAATTCAATTCAAACTATATGAAAACGCAATTAGCATGTTTCTCTGAATGTTTAGGGATCAGTTCAAAAGTTCAATGTCGAAAACAAATCTAAATTCCTTAAGGTGTGCCTATAATAAGACTATGTTGAATAATGAGAGACTATTTATGTCCATGAATGTTCATCTACTGTTTCATCAGAAAAGCTGAGACCCATACCTACATGTACTAACAGCATAACTCCACTAACGCGAATGTTATTGAAATGTCCCAGCAACCTGTTAAATGCCAGCATTCACTTCACTTTCATTCATATATTTGAAACAATAATGTATCTAACATTACTCTTTATCACTTTATGATATTTCAAGTGTAATATTGACGTGTGAAATTGTCTTTTTTTGTAATAAAAAAGCTTTAATATTTTCATAACTTAATCACTTTAACCAACTAAAGGGATCCATTTTCGTGACGTGTCCAAATGATGTGTTGATTTATCTTAATTTATCATTCGTTAATTTAACGCGCCTTATGCAACATATTTCTATCTCTTGGCAAATTATATAGTTCGCTTTGAATAGTCTCACATGCCTCAACTCCTTATGGAGAAGTTTTTCGTACGCGCGCATGCGTGCGTGCGTGCGTGCGTGCGTGCGTGCGTGTGTGTGTGTGTGTGAGAGAGAGAGAGAGAGCGTGCGTGCGTGCGTGCGTGTGTGTGTGAATAAACGTTCGCTCATCACGTTGAAGACCCAATTTCGATTCTCACGTGGGTTAAGCTGAGGAAAACCCGTCCAGTGTCTCCCGATGTGATAGAACGTGGATATTGCTGATTGGATGATGATGATGATGATGATGATGATGATGATGATGATGATGATAAGCGACAAAACTGTATATCAAAAACACATGCATTACTCACCCATGTCATACATATGTCTGTCGACATACCTTTAGGAGACAGACTGTGTCATATTGCCCAACTCAAAGACGTTACAGTTGTGGAAGATGAAACCCACTTTCTCATTTCCTGTGACTTATATTCTATCAGCGTATAATCTTCTAGAAAAATCAAAGGAATTTAACTCTGAATTTTGTACCTATTCAAATGGCATGAAGTTAGTTCACATTATGCAGCAAGATCGTTTACTGACAGTTACTCTCGCTGATAATACTTTTTCTGGTGCTTGAGACGTCCACCTAAGTACTCTATAAACATTAAGTACGTATTTAATGACTGTAGAACATGAATGTATTTTGCTTAAAAGCTACATTCCAATGTTTGGTGGATATTAATATAATTGATATGTTTTAATCATGTTTTAAGAAGTGTCTAGTAAGCCTTTCCCGGGCTGAAAAGTACATTTTTTTGCTTTTGCTTATTGTACAATATGTGACACTATGATAACATATATCTTATCTTATCCTATCGGAGAATAGCCGAGCCGAGCCAAAGCAAATTTACTATTGCATCAGAAAAGATGAGACCAATACCTATATTTACTTACAGCATTGTTTCTCTACCGTGAATGTCACGCGAAGGTTCGTCAACACAATCCATTGTTCACTCAACCAGGCCACCGCCCATGACTCATTTACGCATTGTCTCGTAATAAAGGCGTACTCTTCTTCCTCCATCCATGTACTCTGTGTCTTAGTAAAATACACTGGTTGCTATACTCTGTGTTTGCTCGAAGGTTCTCATATGACCCTGGGCCGTCGCGGCTGTACACATACAGCGACGCTGACTAACCCTTGGGCACAAAGCTGACCTACAAATGCAACGAACCAACAACTCTCTCGTGTAAACAGGATAGCAGGTTATTTCGTGGAAGCTATTTAAAGGCGATTCTAAGAAGATGACAATAGGTTGAATCGCACTTATATAAAGTGTATGCTCTTTGTGAGTTGATCAGTTATACGCGGGAGCCTGCAGCTTTGTGCTGGTTATCCGCTGTCTACCCATACAGGATGTTGAGTGTCAGCGGCGGGTTGGCCGGGTACCTCGTACTGGTTCACACGATCGCTGTCACTACTCTCACGGGTGAGTACACTATGGTTACATCTAAATCCGTTGGTCGAGACGTAGACGTTATCGTTTAGCGGTCAGCGTATCCATGCGTTTTGTCGTTTAGTACAATCACAGCAGAGCTGGCTCATGAGGGCTGTAACAGGACATGCTACAACGGCTATGACGGCAGGATATGACAGTACCATGACGGTTCTGGGCCGGGAGAGCGAAACCTAGCCATAATGAACTCTAAAACCTCTTCGCTTTCGTGAAGCTACAGTAAGACTGGTCACGCTACAGTAAACACGGGATATTGCTGTACCGGAAATCTCAAATTACAAGAAACACACAGAAATGCGTATACCGTAATTACAGTAGTAATTTGTTAGATGCTTAAGTATAGTATAGTTGCACAAAAGCACTTTACATTTAACAAATTTAATAACTCTAATACTTTAATATTTCATAGATGTACATTATAATTTCTACAAAAACAATAACTTATATCTTCAAATATAATGGTAAACACAGAAATACATTCTATAATAAATTTGAGGTTACACTGGCATACACGTTGTGTTCAAGTCATTCACTCCAAGTGGATCAGGTCACCAACGTGATCTGTGTACTCAAGGTCGCCGATGACGTTGTTGACGAGATTGTCTTTCAGAGCCTTAACAAGAGCTGACCACCTCGCACGGTATAAACCATGGTGACTCGAACTTGTGCGTTAGCCATTTTGGACATAGATAACTTACTTACTTACTTACTTACTTACTTTGGAGATTTAACGTGCGCTTTCCGACTGATGCGTATTTCGCACACGGGCCCGGCCAGGCCAGGCCATTTAACGTGTTTCCGAAGGGGGCGAAAGTGGTGTGTGCAACCCAAGAGGGGGCTTTAGGGGTTGGTTAGTTGTTTGGGAGTCGGAAGGATTGTGTGGTTTTAGTTGGTTGTGTGGTATGGACTCCGAAACCTGTGTGTTTGGAGGTCGGATTTGAAGATCCGTCCGTGTATATGTGAGACCACATAGATAAATAAGTTGCACTCTTTATATAAACCCTCAAATACATACTGTATGTATTCTTAAGAAACGACTCTCCTCTAAACCCATCGGTATCATAACCCATATCAACCAAGAAACTAATTGTTTGTTCAATTGAGAAACTGATCATCTCTTCTGCTGTGTTTAAACGTCCAACTGTATTATTGTTTTACGAAACGACTCTCTAGTAAATCTCCTCGCCTCTCCTCTGTTTGAAGAGCACGGGCGCTAATCTAAACTACGGTAATCCGGTGTTTTTATAGCAATTACTCATTTTTCGCTTTCGTAGGACAACTACCCCAACTTGGGTTTTCGCTTTACTGATACTAGGGAAAATTGGATTTTCGCTAACCCGGCACTACACCCGGCAGGACATGCTACGGGAACTGTAACAGCAGGACATGCTACGCAGACTTACCAGGCTATGCTCTGACGGCAGGACATGCTTCAAGGACTATGACAGGACATGCAACGGGAACTCTAACGGCAGGACATGCTACGCAGACTTACCAGGCTATGCTCTGACGGCAGGACATGCTTCAAGGACTATGACAGGACATGCAACGGGAACTGTAACGGCAGGACATGCTACGCAGACTTACCAGGCTATGCTCTGACGGGGATTGTGTCGGCACGGCATTCTACGAGAACCATGATGACAGGACACGCTACGGGGACTGTAACGGTAGGAAATGCTGCGGAGATTGTGACGGCACGGCATTCTACGAGAACCGTGACGGAAGGACATGCTACAGGGACTGAAACAGCACGGCATTCTACGAGAACCATCATGACAGGGCATGCAACAATCTTGCAGGATTTGGACAAACCTGAAACGTTTCTCGGTAATCACAACAATGCACGAATATTTACGCACGAGAGAGGTATTATTCATGTCCGTGCATGCGTTCGTACGTGCGTGCGTGCGTGCGTGCGTGCGTGCGTGCGTGCGTATGTCCTCAGCCGGCCGGAATAAGATGCCGCAATTCCTTGAGAGCTCAGCCATGCCAGAATCTTTGGTTCGAATTTGAGAATTCATTTCAAACTAGATGTATATGAAGACGCAATTGTCATGTTTATCTGAATGTTTAGGGACCAGCTCATAAGTTCGATGTCGAATACAAATACTAACACCACTAACGCGAGTGTCATTGAAATGTCCCAGCTACATGTTAAATGCAAGTAGTCACAAACAATCATTAGTCACCCGTGTATAGATATATGTCTGTCGACATGTCTACACTAGCAGGGGGATTTAACGACTGAACCAACAATAAAACGCAGTCTATTGTACACTCGACCATCGTCTCTCTCTCTATAATAGTTAGATCTCACCCGTCGTGAATAGTGACTGCATTGTTTAGCCATACCGTGACCAGAAAACGTTACAAATTATAATTATATTTTACATTCTGTCAACGATGGACACAGCAACAACTAGCTATATTTCACAATTTTGCCTAATGAAGGCCGGGGGTCAAAAGTTTGAGACCATGTATATCTATGTATTTATTTGACCTCCCCTATGGCAATGAACAACAAAAGAGAGAAAAACTTTGAATTAAACGCGAACCCTTCGTCGATAACTAACGAAGGACGCATGTCCGTGCCCTGTCATTGAATACCAGTAGTATTCACTTGTGTTCTGAGGTGAGGGGAGATGAAATGGGGTTTTACGTCACGGTCAAGATTATTGCACTTACACAGCGACGTGTGTGTGTGTGTGTGTGTGTGTGTGTGCGTGCGTGCGTGCGTGCGTGCGTGCGTGCGTGCGTGTGTGTGTGTGTGTGTGGCTACTTGTACTAGTCCGGACTAATGTCGAGTTTTAGTGTATAGTGCTAGCCCACTGAAATACCATGCCGTAGTTTAACATGAATACACTGAGTAAAATACACTGATTGCTATACTCTGTGTTTGCTCGAAGGTTCTCATGTGACTGGGCCGTTGCGGCTGCACACATACAGCGACGCTGACTAACTCTTGGGCACAAAGCTGACCCACAAATGCAACGAACCAACAACTCTCTCGTGTAAACAAGACGGCAGGTTATTTCGTGGAAGCTATTTAAAGGCGATTCTAAGAAGACGACAATAGGTTGAATCGCACTTATATAATCAATGTTGGTCAGTTATAAGCGGGAGCCTGCAGCTGACGGCAGGATATGACAGTACCATGACGGCAGGACATGCTTCAAGGACTATGACAGGACAGTCCTTATTGCCGAGCGCCAGGCAGGGTAACAACTAGTATCATCTTTTAACATCTTTTGGCATGATGCGGACGGGGATCGAACCCCCACCTTCCGTTTTCCGGACGCTCTTCCACGAGACCACGGATGCTTTCTAATAGTATTCTGAGATATGCTAGCCTTAATATTCCTTCATCACATTAAATGAGGAGGTCCGTATTTAGACTATTTAACTTATTTTATAAGTGGTATTTTAGAAATTTAAATTATTCAATCTAACATTGAATCTACAAAAGTCTAAAAAAGAAAGTGAATTTCTGTTACACAATGCACTCCGCGGCAAATTCACACTTCATGAAAGGCTCATCGAGGGTTTTTAATAAGTGGTTTATTATGTGTAGTTGACGGTTTAAACTATTGTAACCACATATCCATGAAATACTTATGATATCAAACTTACTCATGGCAGATTCTTAATATCCGATTCTTAACTTAATATTTACCAATTTAATACATATTCTTCTTGCAACAGCGTCACTGATACGCTCGTTCTTAATATAATGTGAGGCGGTCGGGTAGCCTAGTGGTTAAAGCGTTCGCTCGTCACGCCGAAGACCCAGGTTCGATTCCCGACATGGGTACAATGTGTGAAGCCCATTTCTGGTGTCCCCCGTCGTGATATTGCTGGAATATTGCTAAAAGCGGCGTAAAACCATACTCACTCACTCACTTAATATAATGTCAGATCCTCCATGAACAGATTTCGGCGAACTCGGTCGACTCGTCCAGGTGTTATTTGTACCAGTTCTGTTAGCGTTGTTCTCTACTGTTCATTGTTTTCCCTTTAGCTAATCGATACCTGAGCTGTCTTTACTCCGACATAGATATATTGATTACGAAGTAAACGGTCCTAGAATCCCAGCTGCAAATCGATCCGTTAATTCACAATTGCAGTAATAAGTAATAAGGCGATGCAAATTTGTGTACATATTTTATACATCCTTTGCTTGAATTGTACACTACCTTGGAAGCAGATGTATACATGTAATTGTATGTAAGGTGAGTGAGTGAGTGTGGTTTTACGCCGCTTTGAGCAATATTCAAGCAATATCACGGCGGGGGACACCAGAAATAGGCTTCACACATTGTACCCATGTCGGGAATCGAACCCGGGTCTTCGGCGTGACGAGCGAACGCTTTAACCACTAGGCTACCCCACAGCCCTTTGTATGTTAGATGAGGAGGACCCAGTGATTCACTCTTGTCCATGGCAATGTTTCACCTATGTCAGTACAATATGTTAAAATCAAGTCAAATCACAATTGCAGCCTTCTGCTTTCACGGGGCTGCGTGTGGGTCGTGCAATTTTCCTTTGAGGGTAATCAATTTTCCGTGGGTAGGGGTGAGAACTGTTTTCCGGGGGCAAATGACTGAGGGGCCGTTTTCGAGCAGGCAGTTACCGTGATACCTATCTGTCCCCATAATTCATAATAGGTAACCTTTTCTATACCTTTTTTAATCACCATTTACAGGCGTATCTTTGCAATATTGCCGATTTCAGATAAAATACAATTAAATACTCTCCTAAAACTGCGTTCTGTAATCTGTTTAGTTGCATGTGAGTTTGAACAGTATATCAGGTGTATCACGTGATAGTAGCATGTTGTAAGAGGAAAAGATCAAAATCGGCGACGTTAACCTCATACTTATGAAATCGTGCTGACACGGTGAGGTGAGGTGAAATGGGGTTTAACATCTCGTTCATCATCATTGCACTGATATAGCGACGCGCATGCACGTAGGTGTGTGTGTGGCTGCTTGTACTGGTCCGGACTAAAAGTCGATTTTAAAGTGCTAGCCCACTGAGATACCATGCTGCAGTTTAACACGAATACCCCACTAAGACACGGTATACTTGTCGACCAGCCCTTGTTTTAGCCCCATTATCCCGAGCACCAGGCGGGGTAACAACAAGTACCATATGTTAAAGCCTTTTGGTATGACGCGCCCTGGGATCGAACCCCGACATTTCGTTATCCAGACAGATGCTCTACCACTAGGCCACGGAAGCTGACAAACCAAGGATCGGAAAAGGCGGATCTCATATTCAAACTCTTGAAGAGTTGACCCAAGCACGTCTCAGCCCAAATCGCGGCCCAACAGACGAATGACTCACTCGTGTTCTTTACAATAACAGTCTTGGACCTGTCTTGACTAACATTTCTTAAAAATAATTATATTTTTCTTCTTCGACAGAACCTTTCCTCTTGTTTGATCTAGACTTGCCTAGGTGTTTAGTAAAATAAACTGTATGTATTCCACAGTCATGACGCAGGACTAGGATATTTATATCCTCCTCAATTAATTCTAGGATCCTGGTAGTTCTAGAAAAGTCCGACAGACATTGGGCTAGAAAGTAATGGCGACGAGAATACCTTTTTATTTTCTAGAATATCCGCACTTTACGTACCTAATATGGAATGTGAATCCACCGAACAATGATAAGACCCTTCCCCATCTAGCCTGCACCACTTTGGGTTTATATATATCCTAAGTAAAGTCACATGACTGCCGGATAGTAACCACGTGATCAAAACACAATGATGATGTTTATCGCCAGCGAAATGGATATTCCTTGAAAAGCGCACTTTGCAATTGTTGTCATTGCTGTAAGTTATCCCAGATTACTCTGAACATGAATCTTGACGGTAGCCGTCCTGTGGCAAACGTCGCAGACCTGCACCACTTTGGGTTTTCCTTTTATATCAGAGGAGGAACATCAAGTGGTCAAGCCATGGCAAAACTGAAAATTGTTCAAAAACTCTGAAACAGTCCTATCCAAGCTACGATGACCTTTCAACAAAACATACGCAACCTACGAATCGCTAGTAGCGTAGATGTTAGATAAAATATTTCTCGGTCGACTGAAGCTATTTTCATTTCGGCGACCAACCTGCTTCGGGCACATGTGATGTTGATGTGACATCCCCAACGTCTTCGCAATAGAGCGTTCCCATAGTAAGTCAGTGCATACGATATAGGCTTAATTCTGTTGAGAGTGCTCGTGCGTGTGGCGCGCGGGGGGAGGGGAGGGGTAAACGACCACAAAACGACTTTTGGGAAACTTAACGTCTGAGAAAGTCATAACCCATACAAAAACTAATGGTTTGTCTTTGGACAATTCAAGTGACTTTATTAAACATTTGCCCCTGGATCACCCAGCTGTATGTGGGTACCCGGTAGGATGAGAGAGTAACTGAATGCAACTTGCATCTTCCAGCAGCTTGCAGGCATCGTTGGTTATTTACGCTTCAGTGAGTTCAGATTGTAAATTGAATGGGCATTCATCTATCGATCGTGGCAATATCGTATAAGTGCTTCGAGCATACGCTGTTTACAGTATCACATTTCGCTTTATAAATGTACCTATGGGTATATTTAAAAAATCTCTCAATGGAGCATGAATGTACAGTCAATTGAAAGTCCATATAGCAAAAACAAGTCAATCCCTAATGTCAACAACGTAAGTCTAACTTGTGACCTACCTCGTAATTAATTATGAATTCGTTACTTTTGTGATTTTACGAGCTGAACAAAGATGTAACCCCTTGACGATCGGTAAAATGAAAATTCCGTATGGCATGAAAACTGCCCATGAAAATATACAGCGCAGATTGAGAGGATTATGGGAGCGTAACAATATATTTTTAGTCATTTACTGTGCTAATAGACATATTATTTGTGGGTTTCTCGAGAAATGTACATCTTTAGCGGAGGATTGATGACTAAGTACATACATTTGTGAGGCTTTATTAAGTAATAAGTTTTACAACTCTCATTCCTGTGATAACTTGTCTAAGTTTATTCTCTTTCCCAACTGTTACAGCACTAACAGAATCAACACAGTGTGATGCTCCACTTGGTTTTGAGAATGGCAACATCACGGACGATCAGTTCTCTGCTTCATCATCTTTAAATTCCCGCTACACAGCAAATGCAGCAAGACTTAACGTTGGTGGTGAGCAGCTTTTTGTTGAGTTCTTTTTGTATGACATTTTTGTATTGCTATAGTTTGAGATGTCCTTCACCTTAACATGTCTTTAGCAACAAACTGAAAAAAAACATCACTGGTAAAATAAACTAATGGGAACATATGATATATTGCGACACCGAGATCTGTTCTTTGCTGGCTAACAGTATACGAGGGTAAATCGAAAACGTCGTGGCCTCATAGGCATGGCCTTTCTTGTTGTATGATATTCCAGCACGTTTATGAAGATTTGTCTCTTGGTAGACATAGCACCAAGTTACAGACTTATAGCTGCATCTGATTTCGAGAAATCAACTATTGGGGAATTGTATAGGGGTGAGGGACAAATTTATGTCTGGTAGGCGTGTTACAATTTAGCATATCGTTGATACTGTTGACACAGCTGACACGCTGAACATGAGCAGGATGGGTACCCAGAATGGGGACCTCACATGAGAAGCTGACCTGACGCAACATATTCAGGGACCTTTTGAATTATCATCAGTATCCTGTAATTTTTAGACAAATTGTAACACATCATGAGGCTTCGATCAAGAGTCAAAATGTCAGAGCAAACAGTGGAAAAGGTTGGTTTTTTTCCCCCAAAGAAAAACACTCGAGTGGCATCAGTTGGTAAAGGCCTGGCTTTTCTGGGATCGTTAGGGGTTAATCATGACTACAATACTACGTCACAGACCTACGTCAGTTGAGAGAATCTATCAGATTATGAAGACTGTGCCTTTGAATTACTTCATTTATTTCTTCCCTAAACTCAAATGTTCAAAATGATGACTTCCATAGGGCAGTGATACGAACTTAGAGCATTGCTGGATCAAGAAGTATGTTGAAGTCATAGGAGATAGTGTCTGACCGATTTTCGTTGAAAGGCCATGATTTTATGTTTACCCTTGAATGTGAAGATAGAAATTGAAATTGAACATCGTAGTAGCAAATAACTTTCTATTTGAGAATATACTTTCGGTTTAATTGCATTTGTAAATATACTCACACGCAAAAGAAACGCAAGTGGTTTTAAGTGAAGCCTGACAGTGTTATCCGGTGTTGCATTTTGGAAGCCCCGAGTAAAAACGCAACATAAAAAACGAATCGCCAAAACGCACCATTTCAATGACTATGTGGGTATCATGCACCCATTTCTCGCGAAATCGAAAATGGGTATAAAACTGTGGCCGATTCTTGGACCTACCACTCATTGGTCAACAATGCCACGCCTAACTCAAATTCAGAGAAACCAGGCTATCGGACGTATGGAAGCTGGCGAGTCCGTCATTTCAACGTTAACATTTACCACAATTTACCGTCTGCTGCATCTATACAATGCTACATAGACCACAGATGACCTTCCTCGGAACGGTCGTCCTAGGGTCACCACACCTCGACACACCTCGACACACCTCGACAAGATCGGCAGATTACCCGCCAACACCGACATCCGTTCCTAACTGCAAGTGAAAGTGCTCGACAGACCATAGGAACACATGATCGACACATTAGCCGGGACACTGTGATCCGACGTCCCCGTTCCAACAACCTCAGATGTCGCCGACCAGCACGTCGTCCTGTTCTCCAACCACGGCATCGACAAGCACGACTTCAGTGGGCACGGGGTCATCGCAATTGGCGTCATCGTGAGTGGAGGCGTGTCATCTTCTCTGATGAAAGTCGCATTTGTGTCTCCCATGCAGACGGAAGAGTCAGAATTTGGCGGCGTCGAGGTGATCGTTTCGCAGACAGAAACGTTGTGAAAAGGGATCCATGGGGTGGACCTAGCGTCATGATATGGGCAGGGTTTGGACTTAATGCGAGACTTGGACCCATGTGCTTTCTGAACGTTGGTCAAGGTCGGGGACACGGCGTCACTGCTCAGCGGTATTTCGACCAAGTGATCAGACCCCACGTTGTTCCATTTTTTGCACAACATCAACAACACATATTATAGCATGACAACTCTCGTCCCCATGTTGCCAGAGCTACCATGGCCTTTCTGCAACAACACAACATCCGTGTTCTACCGTGGCCAGCCATCAGCACTAATCTGAACCCCATCGAACACTTGTGGAATGAGGTTCAAAGGCGTTTGCACTATGTGCGCCCAGTCTCCACAACTACGATGAACTACGCACAGCTGCTCTGGATCCACTCTGATCGTCTTATCCAATCATGGTGCTAATGGTGGTCACATCAGGTATTGACTGACATTTTGGGTATTGACTCGAAACTGTGTAAGCCCTTAACATTTGAAAACAACAATTATGTCATCTCCCTTTTAATCCATTAAACTGTCTTCAGTCAATTTTTTGTCAATCTTGCCCTATTAGTATTTCTTGTCTTTACTGTTGAAAATAAATAACATGTATACTGCATACTCGACTTGCGTTTCTTTTGCGTGTGAGTATATATATATATACCTCGGTATTCAGACGATCTTGATGCAAAGGTCATTTTTAACAAAAGAAACATATTCTTTGCCAGTGATTTGTTAATCCAGCAACTTCTATACTCTTACTCTGACACTTTCAGTGATAAAGGTACTATCCGGATATTAAAAAGATATCACTGTATATACCAATATATGAAACATTACCCCATTGTATTCACCCAAGAGTGAGTGAGTGAGTATGGTTTTACGCCGCTTTTAGCAATATCACGGCGGGGGACACCAGAAATGGGTTTCACACATTGTACCCATGTTGGGAATCGAACCCGGGTCTTCGGCGTGACGAGCGAACGCTTTAACCACTAGGCTACCCCACCGCCCCTATTCACCCAAGAGAATCAGCACTAAAGGAATTTACATCTTCTGATTTTGAGACTTAAAGATAAGGGTATTTGTTTTATACTTACTCCACTCCACTCCACTCCACTCCACTCCACTCCACTCCACTCCACTCCACTCCACTCCACTCCACTCCACTCGCAATGTGTCGTTGTTTTCCAGATGGATGGGTCGCCCAACAGTCTAATGGCACAGAGTACCTTCAGGTTGACTTGCTAACTCAGCATAGTGTAACCCGCTACTCAGTCCAGGGCAGCAAGAATGGCTGGTTCCCTGGAACAATGGTGTTGTTCTACAGCCAGGATAGTCTTGTCTGGGGGAGATATGTCACCAGCAATGGGACACAGACTCTGGCAGGGCCTCCAGATTACAGGACTGTTGTCACATTCGACTTGAACCCAGCTGTGCAGGTAAGGGTGACACCACTTACATCCTCAGACTCGTTAGTTATGGCCAGTCATGATGTATATAGATCTTTGTCCGCTAGTTAGTGAGTTAACATTCTTCTTCACAGCTACTGGTGGTATCATCTTTGCACAACATTTTTTTCATTTTGAAAAAGAGCCCACTGCTCGAGGATGGTACCTTATATAATTATAGCATATTGGAACATGTGAAGGAGATACGTTATGTAGATACACGACATGATAGCATATTCTTCCTGGAGTGTTGAGTCATCGTCTGTGTAATATCCTTCAGCTCAAACTTCTGTGTTTGTGATACATTTTTCCTGTTATGATGTCTTTGTTAAAGACCTCATAAACCTTTTGCAGGCACGGTACCTAGCATTTGTACCTCAACGCAGGACATACAGTAGTTATGCAGGACTTCGCCTGGAGTTGTATGGGTGTGCGGCAGAACAACAAATCCCCGTCAGGCATACAGAAGTCTCCCAGGACATACAGGTAAACAGAGGTTCTGAAGAGCAGCATCCCTATATACATCTACATCTTCATCAGAATCCACATCTATAGCTACATCATACAAATCTGCATTTATATACATCTACATAAACATTTCTACATCAACATCTGCATGTGCACCTACCATCTCAAGATCGTTTTTGTATTCCAGGGAAGTCATGAGTGGTTACCCAGCCTGAGTCCATATGTCATTAACACTGCCATCAAGATTCGTCCAGCAGCACACGTGAAAATACAGCCGGGGGTCAAGGTTATATTTAATTCTTCACACGCAGGATTCATCGTTCTTGGTAAGAATATGTGGGCAGTTGTATCTTAAGCGTACACATCTAATTGTACCAATGCCAACTGCAATTATCAAGACATAGCTAGTTTTCCTAAACAAGCAAGTCGTTCACCTACCTTTCCATCATCGCATGCCTTTGGACAAAATTATCAACAGGTACTGGCTAAAAGGATTTTATGTTGAAAGCTATCATTTGATGCTATGTGTCTTAGTGGTGTAAATAATGAAATCAGGAAACCCTGGGACGACTGAAAGAATTATTGTTGTTATTGATTATAATTTAGTATATGTTGTATCTCAGGTACAATGGAGGCCAGAGGTCTCAGTGGACTGCCTGTGGTTTTCACAGCTTCAACTACGTTCACAAACCGGACAAACATGTGGGCAGGCATTGAAGTTGTCAGTCAAGGTATGTGCACTATGGTCTTGTGGAATAGTATAACAGAGCTCCCACGTCTCTGCATACCAAGAAATGTTCCATCTGTTTTGAATTTGTCCTAACTATCCCATGAAGGAGTGACACCAGCAACTATGTTTCTAATTGGCTCCCACAACCCCAACTCAATTATATACATGGCCACAATGGTAGCCATATTTAACATGTTATTTTACACCATTACTCGCTGCATGTATTTCTAATTACGAATCCTTCATTGTTAAAGTCCATATGCAGTTAGAGCACAGGCAAATACATCCAATGAGAGGTCACTATTCTGATCAGGTGGAGTACATCTATATGCTGATAAAGTACTTGAGAGTATACAGTTTTCATGGGCGTGAAACTCCTGTGCTTCATGAAACATTTCATTTAAACATGACATGGCTTAAACAACAAACAATGGGGTCTTTTATTTATTTAACACCAATAACGACATTCTGTAATTGATTTAATAAATTCAACTGGCTAAAGTTCTATTCCATAGCAATCTGGATCTCTTTGTCGCCTTGCTTAAATGTGAAAACTGTCCCTTTTCCTGGACTTGATTGGTGATGGCAGAGAGACAGTTTCGATTCCTCGGCCTGAAAATCCAAAATTGATCTCGAACATATGTCTCTTATATTCCTCAATATGGCGCACGCTACCTAAAAAGACGTCTTGCACAACGATCATTATGGTTTGAGGTCGATGGTTTTCAATTTTGTAAAGTTTCAAAATCATCCAAAGTTTGGCTCAGTTAAATATCAGATAAAGTTGTATTTTCACTTGCCTGAGATAACCAAATGTCTTCATCATGCTCTTTTGTAACTTGCAGGAAATTTGTCTTTGGAATTCAGTCACATATATGGAGCAGGTGTCGGCATCCAAGGAACTCTCGGAGCCATGACTATAAGACACTGCAACATCCACCACAACGACAGAGGGCTAGATCTTCATGTTGGTGATACAGTCCAAGACAGGATTCATATCTCAGGAACCATCATATCAGACAACACCCAAGAGGGCATATACGCAAGCAATTGGCCAGAAGGGAGTTCTCATATTGGTATAGAAGATAGTGACATCTTGCGTAATGGAAAAAGTGGTATGGCATTTGGCAAAGAGGTTGTGCTATTTGCCAATAACTGTAGATTCTCTGACAATAAAGCTCATGGAATATATCATAATTATTATTATGGAGGCATGGGCTCGAGCATAAAGAAGTGTATGTTTGAAAACAATAGATACACAGGATTTATCATAAGTAATGCAAGGTATGCCAGAAAACTTAACATTACTTTTGATGAAACTGAGTTCAAGGAGAACCAGCAAGAGGGCCTTAAATTGTATATACAAAATGCAGCCTCGGATGTGTACATTTCTATAACAAACTCTCACTTCATCAACAACAGCCGGCATGGTGTTCAAATTCAAGGAGAATTCTCAAGCACCCGACCTGAAATACTTCTTAGGAATAACACCATGGAAGGTAGCCAAACCACATCCTACCAACTGATGTATATTGAAACTAGATCTTCTAAATACGGAAATATTCTTATGACAGAAAATTCTTTTCTGACACGAAAGGGCATCCGCATACAAGGCAGAAATGATGTCGCATTTAATATTTCAAATAACATTTTTACTGGCATCAAACGAGACACTGGCATACTTGTGGAGGCAGATAACACAGTCATATTTGGTAACATCTTCACCAACTGTTCAACAACGTCAGTGATTCACACAAAGAATGTCAGAGTACAAATCCACAGCAATGTCTTCATGAACCCACAGACACTGTACGATGTGTTTGTTGATGTGGACTATTCTACAAACCATAGGCTGAATGCAAGCCACAACTTTTGGGGAAGTAGTGACAAGTTCTTTGTTCGGTCCAGAATATGTGACTTTTTCTGTGATGTCACAAAAATGATGGCTGAAGTTGATCCATACTTTGTCTCAGAGATGCTCATTGACATGTCATCACAGTTAGACTCTGATATGTTTACTTTAGACGATCAAAGCATGATTGGTGGAACGTTGGACTCGCCAATCATACTTCAACCAAACCAAGTGTTATATGTGAATAGAAGTCTGTACATTCCAGAAGGGATTGAGCTGACAATAAGCAAGAACAATACATTGGTGTTTCCAAACAAGCAAGGAATTTTTGTGAGAGGTTCGTTTTCATGTGAAACTTTCTATTCGTGTAATATACAAGGTTTTGAATGTGTTTAAATCCCTGTCGTCTCTTAAACAGTATCTACTGACCTGTAACAAGTACATAATTTGAGTAAAATTCATTTAAATCTGATTGGGATCAATTCATTTGAGTAGATAATTTGATCATTCTCAAATTAACATGTTAGAAAAATATGAATAATGAATGAAAAGACTAAGAATAATTGTAATATATTATTAACTGCAATGTAAAAGTTTTATATGTTGCGCAGGATCCTTGACTTATTATTTCAGGATTATTAACAATACAAGGTGAGGCAGATGCCAAAGTTGAACTCAGGAGTGATGGTTCCCCTAGCAGTCAACGATGGGGTGGCATCATATTCAATGCTACAGGTAAGAACTTACTTTCCTGTTGTGAGAACATAGCATTGTATACACTCAATTTCGAAACGGCTTCGAAAATCATAAAGCAGATCGGAAGGACTATTAACTATCCAAGAAAGATTCAAAAGAACCCAGTTTCTAACTCGATGAGAACTATGTGTAGCTATAAAGCACTTATTGTCACTGTCAAAGTCGCTATAAACAGCATTTGTAATGTTAAGAGAGAACACAGTTAGTTTGACAGACATATAATGACAATCTCCCTGAAAGAGCTGTGTATGTTTCAGGATCTTCCCTTCGTCACACCACATTGATACACGCAGAGACAGGAATGAGTGTCTCCGTCAATGTTTCTGGAGAAATTAGATCTTCTGATACCATCATTACACAATGCACAACAGCCATAGCTGGACAACTGTGGTCTAATGTGTCGTTGACTCTTGAAAGAGTACAAATAAATGAATCTAACAAGTTCATAGTTTTGGACAGGCTTAGTTCACATGCAGTGTCATTAAGCATCAATGACAGTGAAATTGAAAGTTCATATGGAATACGTCTTCAATCGAATGCCAATGATGGCCGCTTTAATGTAAGAATTCACTCTTCAAAACTGTACTCCAGTTCTAAAGGATTTGTAATGCGGTCATGTAAATCAAATATCACTATAAGTGCATATGATTCTGTTATCGAGAGTGGATATAATTCTGATAGTTTCGACATTGATGGAGGAGTAATGAACATAACATTTAGAAGAGTATCAGTGATTGGAAATAGGGCAGCTTCATCTTTCCGAACATGTATCAGGAATCGTCCAAATGTTGCACCTGGAGTCATAGACATTCAAGATTCTCTCTTTGATATACGGTCTGCAGATATACTGGACTTTGGAGGAACATACTATCAATATACTACACCACATGATGTCCTACTTATCAATAACACATTCCGTACACAAAAACAGTATGATGGTGTTAATGTTTATGTCTGGAGCAACACTCTTCCTTGGAGTTTGGGCATACATGGCAACACGTTTGAAAATTGTGGACTAAAAATGGAAGGAAGCATTTTTAATACATCAATAGATGGTAACACTTTTGTGAATGGAAAGTCCCCGTTGGACATTAATCTTCAGACGCCCAATGATGGTAGCACAAGGATAAGTACAAATCTTTTTCAAGGTGGCCTTATAACACTGAAATCTGAAAGGGACAGAGAAAGGTTTTATGTAGTAGAGAACACCTTCAACTCGAGTACAATCGTTCTAAAGAGCCCCAATGTAACTTTGAATGAGAACACTTTCCATGCTGATCAAGAGTTTAATATCAAATTTGAAGGGGATGGTTATGCAGGCAGAGAAATCAACTCTACATACAACTATTGGGGTACCACAGATGCCAAGGATATAGCACGGCGAGTATTCGATTCATCATATGACACTTCTCTTCCTACAATCAAACTTGTACCTTTCTATGGTTTCCCCAACTTGACCAATCCCCAGTCCCCTGTTCATAGTTTTATTTCTGCTGATGGCACAATTGGTGGTAGCATTGGTGGGACTGTTACCCTTGCACCTGAAGACAGCCCATACACTGTGGCTGACAATATCATGGTCGGAAAGCTGGAGACACTCATAGTTGAGGCCGGAGTGACTTTGCAGTTTCAGAAGGGATTTGGAATCTTTGTGGAAGGTAATTATTATCTTTTCATCTGCTATTTAAAATTATTTTACAATATTCGTATACTACATGTAGTTACACAAATATCATTTACTTCAATGTGTATTATTAACATCATTCGAATATCATTTCATATCCTACTCTCACTTCATGTTTATTCAAACTGAAACTGTTAATATTGAACATGATTTTATAGCAGCATATAATACAATGAATTATATTGAACAGTTAGATTGTCAAAGTAAGACGAGTTCTATGGATGAACAACTTCTTTATTACAATTGGTGCGACGTTTCGGTGTAGATCCTAACACCTTTATCAAGCAAGTGATGGATAGGTACTTACTTACTTACTTTGGAGATTTAACGTGCGCTTTCCGACTGATGCGTATTTCGCACACGGGCCCGGCCAGGCCATTTAATGTGTTTCCGAAAGGGGCGAAGGTGGTCTGTGCAACCCAAGAGGGGGGTTTTAGGGGTTGCTTATATAGAATTGGGGAATTTTGAGATTTGGAATAGATGCCGATGGGATTGGGGAGGAGAACTAAGGGAGCTGGGTATGGTGGATGTTTGTTTGTTTATGTGATTTTGATTTGGTAGGTAATTGTGTTTTTAGATGCGTTTTATTAGTTCCGTTTTTTTTAAGAATACGCCTAATGCCTTGAAGTTTTCTAGTTTATTTTGTGGGTTTAGTATTGCTTCTAGAGTTAGAGCCTTGTTTAGATTGAGGGTGGTTTGTAATGCGGTTCGATGTGTTAGGTAGTGTGTGCAGTGGATGAGTGCGTGTTCTGGGGTTTCTGGTTGTTTGCAGTGTGGGCAGTTACCTGTAGTGTGTTTTTTAAATTGTTTTAGGTGGTTATTTAAGTTGGTGTGTCCTGTTTGGAGTTTAGTGATTACTCTGTCGATTTTTTTGGATGGATGGAGAATTTTTGGTTTGGTTAGTGGTTTGCTGAGCACTTTTTTGATTTGGCTGTTTGAGTTTAGATATAGGTTATGCCATTTTTTGGTGATTTTTTGCTTGTTTACACTTTTAATTTCTGATTTTGAGATGGGTAAGTTTAAGCTTATTTCTGGGATTTTGAGGGATAGTTTAGCTGCTTTATCGGCGTTTTCATTACCGTATATTCCTACGTGGGCGGGTATCCACAAGAAGGTTATTTGTTTGCCTGCCTTAGTTAGGTCGTTGGAGCTTTTAAGTATTTGATTTATTAATTTAGGTCGGTTTTTGGTATTTTTGTTTTGGAGGGCTTGCAGTCCACTTAGGGAGTCGGTAAGTATTAGGATTTTTTTGTGGTTTTTGGATTCTTGATTATGTAGGGCTGAGGCCATGCCCATTAGTTCTGCCGTGAATATTGATTGGTTGTTTGGGAGTCGGAAGGATTGTGTGGTTTTAGTTGGTTGTGTGGTATGGACTCCGAAACCTGTGTGTTTGGAGGTCGGATCTGAGGATCCGTCCGTGTAAATGTGACACCAATTTGGCCAATTTTCGTGTATGTATGCTAGTGTGGTAGTTTTAGCTATGTTTGGGTCGGTTTGTTTATTTATTTGGCTAGCTAGTGTTGTGTCTATTTTGGGTATTTTAAGTTTAGGGGTGAAGATATTTGATTGTTTGCAGTTTTGTTTAAGATTTTTAATTTGGTGTTCATTTAGGTAGTTTGTTATTCTTTGGGATATTGGGGTAAGTAAGGGGTGTTTACGAGCTAGAGCTTGGTTTTTGGGGCTGATGTTTTGGTTTATTAAGTTTTGGATGAGAGGGTTTGATTGGGACGCGGCCCAGAAATTTAAGCTTAGCTGTTCCCTGCGTAGACTTAGTGGCATTTCTCCTGTTAAGGCCTGAAGTGAGGTGTAGGAGGTGCCATGTTGGGTGCGTGTAATTAGTTTGAGAGCCTGATATTGTATTGAGTCAAGTTTTTTAGATAGAGAGTTGTTTAGGGTGTTGTATATGGCGCAGCCGTAGTCTAGTTTTGATCTAATTAGTGATATGTAGAGAGAGAGGAGGGTATCTTTGGATGCTCCCCAGTTAGAGCCAGTTAGGCATCTTAGGGTGTTTAGGTCTTTACTGCATTTAGTTGTTAGGTTTTGGATGTGAGCATCCGAGGTGAGATGTTCATCGAAAATAAGTCCTAAGAATTTGGTTTGTTTTTGAAATTTGATTGTTTGATTGTTTAGCTGGAGGATTGGGGAGGCGGGTTTCATGTTTTTATGTTTGAATACTATTCCTGTTGTTTTTTCTGAGTTAAGGGAGAAGCCCCATTTGTCAGCCCATTGTTGTATTTTATTAAGAGATTTTTGGAGTAAATTTTGGACCATGTTCATGCTTTTAGTGCGGATCCAGATGGCTCCATCATCCGCGAATTTTGATGTGTTTACTTTAGGGGATAGGCCCTCGAATAGATCGTTTATCATTATATTGAAGAGGGTGGGGCTGAGGATACTGCCCTGTGGAGTACCATTTTCTAGGGGACATTGGTCCGATAGAGTTTGGTCTATACCCACGGTTATTTTACGATTGTTTAGGAAGTCCTGGATGTAGTTTATTATCTGACCTTTGAGTCCTATTTTTTTAAGTTTTTGTATTAGCCCATCGTGCAATACCATGTCGAAAGCTTTAGAGAAGTCTAAGAAGATGCCTGTGGTATATTGTTTATTTAGCTGTCCTGTCTTAATATCTTGTTCTAGTCGGGCGAGGTTATCTAGGGTTGAGCGGCCAGGAGTGAAACCGCTTTGATCTGGGTTTATGATGTTATTTTGGGTTAAGTAATGTTGTAATCTATTTTTAGCCATTGATTCCATTACTTTACATAAGTTTGAAGTTAGGGATATTGGTCTATATGAGTTAGCTTGATTAGCTGGTTTATTAGGTTTAGGGATTGGTATGACTAGGGCCTGTTTCCAGGGAGTAGGAACCTGTCCGTTTAGGTAGATGAGATTGTATAGTTTGAGTAGTGCCTGGAGTAGTTTTAGGGGGAGTTTTTTAATTATTTGGTAAGAAGTTAGGTCTAATCCTGGGGCTGTGCCCTTTTTCCTGTTTTGGATTACGTAGAGGAGCTCCTCCATTGTGTAGGGTTGATTTATTTCTAGATTGTTATTGTTTGGTTCTTTTGTGGGTTTGTTTTCTGTTTTAAGTTTATCTTGGAATTTTTTACTGAAGTTGGTGTTACTGCTAACGGCCGAAAAGTGGTTGGCGAGATTATTTGCTTTTTGGGCGGGGTTGGTTGAGTTGTCAATGTTAGGGTTTTTTTTATGTCGTTTTAAGCCTCTGATGGCGTGGATTTTGCGCCAGACCGTTCTGGCATCTGTACGGTTATTTATACCTTCGCAGAATTTTTTCCAGTCTCTACTTTTGGCTATTTGGACTAGTTTTTGAACCTGGTGGTTTAGTTCGTGGGCTATGTTTAAATATTTGTAGTCGCGTTTTGCTTTATTGAAGGCTGATTTACGTTTTCGTCTAGTCTGTTCTATTTCCTCATTCCACCATGGTACCGTCGGTTTGCCTGTCTTAGATGTTTTGAAGGGGATGGAGGTTTTGGCTGCGTTTATTATATAGTCTGTTAGGTTTTTACAATAGGTTTCTGGATCAATATTTTCTATTTCGTTTAAGTTAGCTTCGTTGCAGATATCTTGGAATTGGTCCCAGTTAGCTTTATTGTAATGGAATTTTGGTTCTTGGTTTTCTGTTTGGATTGGTACGTTTGTATTTCCTATGGTTATGTTTATGGGGAAGTGGTCACTACCTAGCGGGACGTCGTGCACTTCCCATTGAGTACTTTGGGCTAGATCTGCGGTGCATATGGTAAGGTCGATAGCCGACATTTTTTGGTTTATCTTATCGTACCTCGTGGGTTGGTTGCTATTAAGGAGTACTAGGTCGTTTGTTTCTATCCATTCGGAGATTAATTTGCCATGATTATCTATTTTATCATCTATGCTCCATGTAGGATGGTGAGCGTTAAAGTCTCCTAGGAATATAGTAGATTTATCGCTTATTTGGAGTAGTTTGTTTAGATCCTCAGGTTGGACTTTTTGTTCCGCCCAGTGTTAAATATTTATGATGTTTATGTTTCGGTTATTTAATGTGATTTTAATGCCGTTGGCTTCTAGGTTTGGCGTGTCTATTTTTATTTCTTCGTAATTTATATCTTCCCTGATAAATATGATTAGTCCTCCTGCGGCTCTTCTTGTTTTCGGTTTAGCTCTGTCAGTTCTAACTGAGTTGTAGTTAGGTAGTGTGAATTTGGTTTTTTTTGAGAATTTGGTTTCCTGTATACAAGCAATGTGAGGGCCTTTATTTAGTTTAAATTTAGTTTTTAGTCCATGGCCGTGGGAGGTGAGTCCGTTGGCGTTCCACTGAAAAATATTTAGTCCTTCGAATATTGGGTTCGGGTGATTGGTGATTTATTTTTTATTTTTTTATTTTATTCGGTGAGTTCTTTTAGATGGAGGTTAAAGAGGAAGAAGGGAAGATCGGTTAATTTTAGATTGAAAGCTACTTTGTAGAAGGATTTCATGCTAGCTTTTGGTGAGTTTTGACTATGCATGTATGCTAGGATTAAGTTGAGGTTATTTAGGTTTTGGGTGTTGGCTGGTTGGGGAGTTTGGTTTGTTTTAGTTGGAGTAGTGTCTATTGTTTCCTCAGTAGTGGAGAAATCTTCGTCATCGGTTAGATTAGGTTTAGCTGATTGAGTTTCCATGGGGGAGGCATGTGATGTGGAGGATTGTGAAGGTGTTTGTGGGATGGGTGTAGCTGATGATTTCTTAGTGTTTGTGTTTTGTTGTTGTGCTTGCTTGTGGGAGAGCGTTGTTACCATATGGGCTGTAGGGTGCTTGGATGAGGGTCGTGTTGTGGTGGTCATTTTGAGGTTTGTTTTACATGCGGGGGTTGATGTTTTGGCTATGTGAGATGTGGGAGGGTTCGTGGTTGGTTGAGTGGCTGCTTGTATGTGTGAGGTGGGTGCGATTTCTCGGTAGGGGCCCCAGACAGAGCTGTCGGTTATGGGTGTGGTGTTTGTTTGTGGGATGGTGTTTGGGTGTGGTGTAGGGAGGAGTGGTTTAGATGCAGGTGTAGCTAATTTTCGTGTTTGGATTTTAGCCGTGTCTATGTTTATGTGTTTGTTGGCCTGCTGGGTGAGTGTGTGTCTGTATGGGCATTGGTTTGAGAGTGAAGTGTGTTGGGTGGATTTGCAGTGGATGCACCAGGGTGTGCATGTGCCTGGGCAGTCTGTTTGTGCGCATTTTTTACATTTAGTTTTACGGTATGTGCATTGGGAGGCAGTGTGGTTGTATTTGAGGCACTTTGTACATTGCTTAACCTGCTTTATATAGGGTTTGACTTCTAAGTTGGTGTGGGCTCCGAAGGATATGTGTTTGGGGGCTTCAGGGAATTTAGCGGTCTTTTTGAAGTTGATTATGACAATGGAGGTTGGGACCGTTTTTCCGTTTCTAGTTGAGGTTATTCTACGCGTGCTGGTGATTAGGGGTTGAGGGTTTTGGTCTTGGTTTATGTTAGCTTCTAGAGAGTATAATTGTAAGTCCTCAGTTGTTTCCCTTGGGTTAACCCTAATTACGCCTCGTGTATATTGTTGCCAATTAGGTGTTTGTTTGATTACTGTGACGTGGAATATTTGAGTTATTTTATTTGCTGCGTTGTAAGATTCTCGGTTAGGGAAGATAATCTGGTATCCTTTGTTGGCTTTTTTAATATTGTTGTAATTTATTTTTTCTCTTTTAAACCAAAGTCCTATTTTATCTGCCGAAAGTTCTAGTGAGAGAGTGGTGCCTGAGCCTGCTGAGAAGAAGTAGAGGGCGAAGGTGGTGAGGAAGGCGGCCGGGGAGGGTGTGGGCGATGGAGGTGGAGTGGATGTGTCGAGTTTGCGTTTTTTGGTGTTTTGAGGTGGCGAGTTAGCTGGTTTGGTGGGGGGGGGGTGTGTGTCGTGTTTTCGCCATACTCGGTCGGGACGATGTTTTCGAGTGACCTCCCGGAAGTGTTGTGCGCTTCCGCAGGCGTGGGTGAGTTAGGAGCTGGAATGTCTGCGAGTGTGGCGTTGCGGGTGTCAGTCATGTTGTTTGGAGAGTTGGAGAGCGTGTGTTGTGGTGAGTGGTGGTGGAGTGGGAGTGGTGTTTTGGGGAGGTAAGTTGGTTTGTTGTTTTTACTTGGTGAGTTGTGTTTAGGAGGCGGAGGAGGTTGCGGTGGTTATTTGTTGTTGGTTTTAGTAGGAGGGTTTGTGAAATGGATTAATTATTAAAGATGGATAGGGCTAAACAACATAGTTATATATACACTTATTGACATCTAGGTTGTTACAGTGACTAGTTGATGGGCACAGAGAGGTGATTAAGCTCATTAGAAGCCAGTGGATGACTGATGAACACAGAGTATACTAGCAGAGTAAACAAGCTAACTGATGGAGATGATGGAAGCCACTGTATTAATTGGATGGACAAAGGGATTGAGCAATTAGGTGATGGTAAGCAGGCGGGATGTAATAGCCTTGGTCTCTGTTCATTGCTGGCTGGATCCTTTTGATGTGGATGGCTTCTAGGAGTTTCCTGATTTTGTAGTCTGATTAATTGTTGGCCAGGATCTTGATGTTGTTCCACTGGATGTTGTGATCGGGGTGGGTTTGGGTGTGGTCGGAGATGGCTGATTTTGAGTCATTTTTTTGTACTGAGGTCTTGTGTTCTTTTATTCTAATGGGTAGGGGCCTGGATGTTTCTCCTACATAGGAGTCGCCACAGTCACATTGTATGTGATATACGGCTCCAGCTGGGTCTTCTTTCTTAGCCATCCACATCAAAAGGATCCAGCCAGCAATGAACAGAGACCAAGGCTATTACATCCCGCCTGCTTACCATCACCTAATTGCTCAATCCCTTTGTCCATCCAATTAATACAGTGGCTTCCATCATCTCCATCAGTTAGCTTGTTTACTCTGCTAGTATACTCTGTGTTCATCAGTCATCCACTGGCTTCTAATTAGCTTAATCACCTCTCTGTGCCCATCAACTAGTCACTGTAACAATCTAGATGTCAATAAGTGTATATATAACTATGTTGTTTAGCCCTATCCATCACTTGCTTGATAAAGGTGTTAGGATCTACACCGAAACGTCGCACCAATTGTAATAAAGAAGTTGTTCATCCATAGAACTCGTCTTACTTTATCACTCCAACTTCTAAATGCCACTCAAAGAAGTTAGATTGTCAAGTTTGTGATATACTTCCTCATTGTTTTTGTTTTTTTATGCACTGTTTGTTAAATGATAATGATTTAAAATGGTTGCATCGGGTTCCAAAAGAAAGCTTTCAAAGAACCTTAGGTGGCCCTGACTTGTATTGTTACGAGTAGAAATGTTGTTGCTGTGGAGCAAGAAAATTCAAAATGAGGGGCATAAGCAGAAGCGATGTCATTACTTAATGGTTCACCATTCGCTTGTACAGATCTGTAGCCCCATAGATCAAGTTCTGATCCTGGGGTTTCTTTCATTGACAAGCATCTCGCCTTCTCCACCAAACACTAACTTTGCCATGTGATGTGGATGATGTCACTCATTTTGAAAGTCAACTATGCGACCAATTACGGTTGATGTTGTCATATTGAAAGAGTTCTGCATGTGATAGATTGTTGTTGAAGGTGGTGACAGCTGTTTGTGCCCCATGTTCACCATCAACTCGTTGTTGTCTCGGACGCCCCTGTAAGAATTGCTGTTGAACTAACAAAAGAAATGACAATAGGCTTAAATCCCAAGTACCGAGATTGAATGAATGTGATGATATATTAACATCATATTTGTGTTTCTTTTCATTCCATTATGTTCATACTTAATGTGAGATAGTATGACCTGACTGTTAAATGTAAAGGCATATCATATTTAGGTGCACTTATTGTTCACGGCAACAAGAGTCATCCTGTGAAGGCCAAGCCAGTTACTCCTGGGGAGAAATGGTCAGGAGTAAGATTACTTGGGAATCTGTGTAAGTGAAGGATTTTTTACTTAATATCATATGTGTACGGGAATTAGATCGTAGAATATTTCACGATAGAAAAACCAATGCCCGATTATGTACTCACACCACGCTTCGGAATTTGGATAAAATCTTAGGATTGAAAAAACATAAATATTATAAATTATATTCAATTATCCGTTATCTGTTACATAAAATATCGTTATCAGATATGTGTTTGCATAGAAGAGAGAGAAACGTTTAATTTGACACTCAAATTTGTCAATATTGAACCATATTCATTTCACATCCTTGATTTATAAAATTCAAAAATGCATGACAATATGTAATGAAAGTAACCAGGGTGTGTCTAATCATAAGTCGTTTTTAATTCAACAGACCGTCCGTTTCCCACTGATGACACAAGTGTCCGACTTGTCGGGGGGATGAATGAGAATGAGGGACGTCTTGAAGTCAAGATTAATGGAACATGGGGGACTGTCTGTGATGATGGTTTTGACAGAGCTGATGCCAAAGTCGTTTGCCGAATGCTTGGATATGAGTGAGTGTTCTTTTAATGTTTGTATATCCCATTATAACGCATGTCAGTTTTCCTTGTCAGAAGTTGTTTTACAGAACAATCAAGTATGTTCCAGCTTTTCTCTGCCGCCAGTATACAATCGACTCTTGTTCAGGTAATGACCAAGTGAATGCATGAGCGGTGATCAAATGGTTCTAAGCTACTCAAATGAGCCACGTACTTCATCCTCTTTAGTTATCTCTCACACGAAATGGATTCTTGGGACCTTTTCTTCATTTCAGTCCCCATGTTAATAAGTCACATCGGCAATATTTCAGCCATATCGTGACGAGAAATTATACATTTTAATATATATATTTAAACTAAATAAAACCTGTCATTGATGGACAGTAAAATTACTAGAATATCACAGATTGATATTTAAAACTAGCATAGAACTATAAAAAGCTATAAGTAACGGTACAATATAAAAAAGGGCTATAGATCGCCAACAGCTGAAGGTAGATCACCATGCTAGGGTCCATGGGGACGTACAGTAGTTTTTGCTACCAGCATGGACCCCAGCTGGATTTACATCATCCCTTCCGCTGTTGGCGATTAATGACAAATTTAGCCAAAAATTAAATGAACATATATACTACGATTAAAATTGTAGTGGAAAAACAATTACTTTGAATGACGGGGTCTGCTATACCCTGGGGGACAATCAATTTACGCTACCCCAACCCCCATCAAGGGTAAAGCCACTACCCTACTAAGTTTCTCACTACCAATTCTAAAATACAAAACATATTTCAAAATGTATTTAATAATTCCAATTCTTTTAAAAAACAATAATTAAATGAGAACTTACCTGAAAAATCCTTGAGCGATGAAACTTTGAAATAGTTATCCCTTGTGATGGAAAAAATCAATACAGTCAAGTCCCACGTTAATAAACTGTTGAGAAAGACGTCTTATGTTTAGCTTATATTCACCAAAGGCTCAAGTCTTTTTGGTCATTCCTCATTGTTCATGGTGCAACGTTATCATTTGAAAGCATTTCTTCTCTTGGTCTTGGTTCTGAGTATATGTATGTTTCGACGGATAATTGAGAGACTAATTATCTTTACATTGTAGCAGAATAGAAAATTTAGATTTATTATTTAATTGGCAGTGAGACAGTCAAAACTATCAGTGAAATAAAACACCCATCACTGCTGGGTGACGAGAACCTGATATCATGTATCGTCACTGGTCAAATTGCGACTGTTCTAATTTCAATATAAGTATACCGCTTGCCGTACATAGAAATTTGTTAGATTTTATACATTACAAAAGTTTCGATAAACCAAACTGTAAGATACAAATTGGTTCAAGGCTATATTGTAGGCATTGGAAAGAACCGACGATGCATTAAATAATGCTTTATAGCTTTTAGTCATAATAATTTAGATGTTTTAATTTAATTAAGTTAAAGCTATAACTTTACTGATTCACATACTATCAAGTCTTGTTGCAGACAAACACAAAAACTCGATATGGGTGGTTTTGTAGACATTGTAATCAACTGAGTGAGTGAGTGAGTTGAGTTGCACGCCGCTTTGAACAGTATTCCATTTATATCACCATGCCTTGACACTCCCTGAACATGATAGATATGTGCTTGAGTTTGTCATGTATACTTGTATCTATCTGCAGCTATACGATATCACCTGACGTTTATTCTGGTTCAAATGACGGTTTGGGCCCCATACATCTTGGCAACCTTAGATGTACAGGCACTGAGGACACACTCCTAGAATGTGAAAGTTCAAGGTTTAATTGCAACCACAGAGAGGATGTAGCATTAAGATGCAGTGAGAAGCTACTTCCTACTCTTCAAGGTAGGTGTTCAACACCGTGTTTACCATCAATCCTTTTGTCTAATCTATAACAAAGTAACAGATGGGAGGGGGTACATTGAGTCAAGTCACTGCTGGTCAACAGAAAGTTCCTTGTGTTGAAGGAAAACAAAAAAAAGGATCGAAAAGATAACTTGGTCAATCCTTTGCCTAACAGAGGTTCCTCCAATAATGTAATGGTGGTCAGCACACAATGTGTACATAACGTGTATGAGCTATTAACATATAAAGTCCTCCATAACGCAGGATGGAGACCTGAATTTTATTACATGTATTCATAGTGGTGAAAGACAAGGTATCACATTAGCAATGTTTTAAGAATTTACTAAAAAAATATTTGATAACCTTTCTACACTTCCATCTTTTGGACTTCAATAACTTCAGATCGTCTAGAATCATAAGGATCCATTTCGGCCCACAATATCTGAATAACTTTAAAAGATAGAGACGGTCAGATATAATTTGACTTTGATCTTTGTGACAAATGCATCTTTTATTCTTACAATACAAAATATCGACATAGGTATGAGCAGTTTAAAGAAGGGTGATTCATGAGGCTTTCATGAAGCATGTTTCTAGTATTTGATACATGAGTGAGTGAGTATGGTTTTACGCCGCTTTTAGCAATATTCCAGCAATATCACGGCGGGGGACACCAGAAATGGGTTTCACACATTGTACCCATGTCGGGAATCGAAGCCGGGTCTTCGGCGTGACGAGCGAACGCTTAAACCAATGGGCTACCCGACCGCCCCATTTGATACATGAACACGTCTTTGATGCCAGCTGAATTGCTCTGTAGGTGTAGGAAAAAAGTAGAACAAAGAAATGTTAACAAAGACATCAAAAAGGTATAAACGTGAAGTAATAAAAAGAAACATGCATATGTGTCAGCTATAGTGATAAAAATGTTATAACCAATGTTCACTATTTAAACTTTTAAATTTGACAGTTCTAGTGGGCACAAAAAGCACTTATCATACCTTCTTCTTTTCTACGTCTAGTGTCTTCACAATATTTAGAAATGTAAGGAGTAGAAATGAGAACCAAGCAACACGATTTTTCCAAGTGGTATATAACTTGTCATATTTGTAATTGTAGATATACGGAATGATGTGCAGATTCGTCATTTCCATATGAATGACACAGATATTGGTCTTGAAATAAATGGAAATATTACAGTCATGGAGAATGTCATATCATCTTACTCAAGTGGACACGGCGTCACTTTCAACGTTGGAATGAAAGGAATGCCTCCTGTTCTTATTAATGGACTGGAGGCAGTACACAGCCATTTGTCAGGGATCATAGTTGCCTTCAACACAGGTGATTATATAAGCAGTTCACAAATCAGGATATCGAACTGTGATATCAGGTCAAATGGAGAGTATGGTGTTTACATCCAGCAATATGTGGACATTTCTTTGACGTCATGCCGCTTTTCTAGGAATACTAAGGAAGATATCCACGTTGAAAGTGATGCCTTCATAAACATTCTAGGCTCAAACTTCTCCGGTGGCACCTATGGTGTGTTTAAACTGAATTTGAGAAGGGGTGCAAATAATGTTTTCAAACTTTCTTTTAGAGATTCACAGTTCCATGATTATGTTTTTCCCAGTCGGTACCACAGCTGGGGTAGTGGAAGAAGTATGTTTGACATCCCGTCATCAAATTTAAAAGACTTGGATATTGAGTTCATAAACAATACATTCAATAGAATAACTGGCAACATGTTTTACATTTATTTTTATTACGAATCCAGTGTACATACTAGTATTAGGAATAACACATTCCAAAACATTACTGGCGGTATTGTTCAGCTACGGCCACGAAACAGCATACCTTTTCAGTTATCTTTTGTAAATAACACTGTCAAGAACACCACATCGCTGGCATCTTCTCAGTCTTTATTGGAAATCCGTGATGAGAGAAATGCAGAAGGTCAGGTCAACATAGCCAATAATCTTTTTTCTGCAAATAAAGCTGCCCAGATAATACTACTTGGAGATATAAGAAAACTCGAAGGGAACATAACAAAGAACATATTCAAGGATAACATCTGCTCCGAGACTGTGAATGTTGCTTCATATCAGTTCAAACTGAGGAACAATGTTTTTAGCAACCCATCTGCCACGTGTGAACTAGATGCACCAACGTTTGAAAGATGGTATGCCATTGATGCTCGATGGAACTTCTGGGGGAAGCAGGAGATGGATTATGTCGGAGAGAGTATTTGTGGATTTGACATTGACATGGAGAAGGGATTTGTGCATTATCTGCCTTACTACCTATCTGAAGAGTTCAGTGAAGTCTCTAGAAATGATCAGCTAATATTCAGTGGTGGTGAGATCACTAGTCAGGTACATCTTCAAACGTCTGCATCACCGTACAGGATAAGGACATCAATATTCGTCAGGTATGTACAAACGAGATGTTAGCAGAGAAAGAACATGACATAGTTATGCAGTGTCTAATTATCCTTGAGCTACAAAATCATAATTGGCGTTTCCTAGACAACTTCAAAAGCTGTATTCGTTGCTTATTTAGACTCACATTTCAAATTGTTTCCTTTATTTATCAGGTCGGAAGGCATATTGCACATTGACAGTGGTGTGGAACTACAGTTCCATCCGAATAGAGGAATCTACGTAGATGGTATGGACGCTTTCATACACTGGTCATATTGTCAATGTAAAGTGAGTGAGTGAGTTGGATTTAACGCCGATTTTAACAGTATTCCAGTTATATCAAGGCGTGTCAGCATAATGTGGGAGGAAAGCCCGAAGTGATGCAGGTCTCAGACGTTTACCACTTTGGTGAAACCCACGAGCACGGGTATGTTGCTGACAAACTTAGAAACATAATCGGCGCGAACTGGGATTCCAACCCACAATCATAGGTTTCTGGCGAGCCCAAGGAACGCAACTCTGCACAGAGAATCGCAGCGCCTTAGACTGGACCATCCGTGACCCCTCAATGTAAAGAGGTAGAGGTGTAGCCAGGCAAGTGTTCCATCAGGGCATAGGATTGTCGTATGTGAAATTCACTATAAATGCTACCACTGCGATTAGGCAATATCATTTCAGTGTACCCCTGCATTTATCATTATCCCTTTTGTTGACAGGCGTGCTAGTGGCTGGAGAAGGCGGTACTGCAGAAAGAGTCATATTGACTAGAGCAGCAAACGAGTCCTGGTTTGGCGTTGTTCTTCCATACAAGACAGGTAATAAGCTTTCGTTTGAGTAAGTGAATTTCGGTTCAAGGCTCTTATAAACACTATTTCAGCCACATCGTGGTGAGTCAGCATCGTGTTGGTGAGGAAAGGTCAAAGTGGTGCATTTCATGGAGTGAACATGGACATGGTGCCGACAAACACAGGATCATACCAAGATCAGAGAAAATCTGGGATTCGATCGCACGATCGTCAGCTATACACCGTGAATTCCAGTGCCTTAGACAACTGGGCTAGCAATGTCCTTTTTATAAACATATCTTTCAAAGACCATTTGTCATGAAGATCCGGAAAGAGAATAGGTCTTTGGCAACCCACGCTTGGCTAAGAGGCGACTATGCTTGACGTAAGAGGCAACTTATGGGATCCGGTGGTCAGGCTCGCTGAATTGCGTAGATCGATGTTCATGATGTCAATCACTGGATTTTCTTGACCGGACTCGATTATTTACAGACCGCCTCCATATAACTGGAGTATTGCTGAGTGCGGCGTTTTACAACAAAGAAGAGTCCATTGTACGATCTCGATCTCGACTATATTATGATGAGATTCAGCATATCAGAAAGTTCAGCATATTTTGCTTCACCGTAGGCACCCGTTACAAACGCATGCAAAGGCAAGCAAATTTTTCACCTGAAACAAAAGCTGGGGCATATGTAATAAGTCAAAATCGGCATTTGCATCAGACATCATATTTGTCACTGATGTGTCAAATTTAGAAATGTCCTCCTTTTGTCTTCCACAAAACAAGTTTTGAAATCTAGACTTAGGCATTGAATGTTGTAAGTGAGTGCTTGGGTGAGTTAGAATTTAACGTGAAATTGGCAATATTCCAGTCATATAGGGACGAGACCTGATTCATTGATGATAAATATATTTAGATTGAATAAAATCCTGTCATCGATTGACTGGATAACTAGATCATCATAACTCGATTTTAAAACTAGATATTTAAAAGAAGATAACAACTCAACATAAAAATGGGCTACAGATAGCCAGCATCCAAAGTAAGGCCACCCTACTGCAGGACTTACACTACCCCTTCAACCGTCAGCTACTGGCGATTGCACGCAAGGTTAGCCATCAATGTATAATGACAAATATACAACTTTTAAAATTCTGGCATGCATAGAAATACTTTGAAGGACATGGAACTTACAACTCCTGCTAGGGGGACAATAATTGTACGCTAATCAACACACACACACACACACACACACACACACACACACACACACACACACACACACACACACACACATACAAGCACGCACGCACACACACACACACATACAAGCACGCACGCACGCACGCACACGCACGCACACGCACGCACGCACGCACGCACACACACACTGTGGGTACAGCCATAGCTACTTTTGCACCAGCTTCGTCCACAGTGTTACCAATGATTCCAACATGGCTTGGCGAGCCAGTAGCTAGGTCATTAATTTATTTCTTTAATTTCACGTGTGAGAGGCGTCAGGCAACAAACATATATGTGTGGCGTGCTACTGGTAGCCATTCATAAAACAATCGCAGCTATTGAGTCTCTATTGGTGAATAATCGTGCGGGTTATTTTTCGGCCTAAACAGTTTTTATTTACATATAATGGTTGTGTTATTTGAGGTCTTGGGAGTGGGAACAACAACAAATTTGGTAAAGTAGGGCGCCCAGGCTTTGGACGACAGCTGGCAAGTACAGAATTTGTTACTTTCCAATTTTGTTTCATCTTTTTTAGTTTGTGCATTTTACTGGTACCAACATCAAGCACTGACTTAACTGTCTGATTCATTGTTTCACTTTGAGATGTCACGATGTTGTTGACAGATGGGGTATCTGAGACAGTGAGACTGGCCAACGGAACAACAGCTAACGAAGGACGGGTTGAAGTGTTCGTGAAAGGGTCATGGTCAACCGTATGCAATATTGACAGGAATGAGGCGCTTCTTGTCTGCAGGGCATTGGGTTATGGGTATGTATGTTATAAGTGAAATAAACTTTGATTAATAATGTTTCTGCAAAAGCATAGATCATCTCCCTTGTCTAGTGGATATGGCTTCTGCCAGGAGAGCGGTAGGTCGTGGGTTCGATCCCCGGCCGCGTGTTTCCCTGCCTGGCGCTCGGCATTAAAGGGCTAAAACAAGGACTGGTCGGCTCGAAGTCAGTACTCTCTTTATAAACAGCTACACATACACCCGCGCACACACACATACACACACAAACACACGTTCACGCACGTCGCTATATAAGTGCAATAATCTTGAACGCGACGTTGAACGCCATCTCACCTCACCTCACCTCACCTCACCTCACCTCACCTCACCTCACTGTACCTCGATTTGGAACTCAAAGCAGTGAATACAATACATACACTGAAGCAACCCGTGAAGGTTTGTGTGTGAAGTTGGAACTGATCTTCATCAACCCATGCTTGTCGTAAGAGAATAACGGGTTCGGGTGGTCAGGCTCGGTGATTCGACTGATGCTCGTCATCGTATCCCAGTTGCAGAGATCGATCGTCTACAGACTCGATACCTGGACTATTGCAGAGTGCGGCGTTTATCAACAAACAAAACATGGAAGCAGGGACTTTCTGATATCCTCGTGTCCATATTTGTGTTCAGTTACAGCATGTATGATCAAATATGATAAATTCAGATTCATGGTACATGGGGTCAATATTTTCTTAATCTTGTGGATTTTATTACCTGAAGTGGCGGAGCCCAACCTGAATGGTCCCCTAAATATTGCTAAAAGTGGCATAACTCCATATCCACTCTCACCCATTGTTTGGATTCAAAACCTATGATATCACTGTACTTGCTTCAAACATATCAAAGCCTCATTCTACCGTGACATTGTAAAAACCTGCATTCTGATCTGTCCGCCAGTATCAGAATAGCATCTACATTAGACCGCATCTTACATAGCACTTTCTCAAACCCGATATGTTTTAAATACTGACTTTACTTATTAAACATTCCAGAAATTGTGACTATATATTTTATGTAGCGAACTGTGAGAACAAATGAGAGAGTCAACCTTCAACATTAAGTAACATGAACACAGTTGAAATTTGCTACTTTATCACAAACTTTGACATCATGTCTACAGCATCATAATGCTGAGGCCTCCTTTTAGTGAAACATTATGACTTTTTATTTAGTTGTGTACTTCAGAATAAAATGTTGCTAAAACTATGGTTTGAGTGTCTGCAAATAAGCATGAATTGTTCAAAATGTAATAGATCCTTCAAGTCAGTTGTTTGGCCTATTCAAATCATTTAACTTTAATGATGCCATTGACTGATCCCTTTTTGAGGAAATAGATTTTTTTATGGGTTTTTTTTCATTTTGTCCTAGTAGATAAGAACTGTTTTCAACTGTTATTTTGTATTCTAAACCTCAAGCTACCACGTTCGATGTTCGAGAAACAAACCAACTATTAAATGCATATTTGAAACCTGTAACTTTAAAACACAACCAAGACTTCTTAGCCTTGTATTGTATCAATATAAACTTTTCGGTACTGACAATACTGACAACATTGCAGATCGGAGGAGTTTGCAAACTACCAGCATGGTGGGGGAAGTGGACCTGTTCTCCAGGATCTGAACTGTGATGTGATGGCCTCCTCCCTCTCCGAGTGCCAGCCCAGCTACTCTACCAGTAGATACTGTAACCATAATCGAGATGTTGGAGTTAGATGCCATCAGTTTGTAGCTCATACAGGAACACACACATGTAAGGAATATTATTATTTCAATATGGGTGATTAAACTGATAGTTTTCAACATTTTATCTTCTTGCTAGCATCGTAACACAATACCTATTCAGGAAGAAGGGGAACATATCTGTACAATGAGTATATTTTGTCATTTAACAAATGCTAGACCCTTTCATGCTATTTTTGGATCCACCAATAAATCTTGCATAGTATTGTAAATGAAAGTAAATTAATATTATTTAGAGCTATTATTAAAGTGTCATGTATGAGATTTGATGAAGTGCAGATTTCTATTATTGATAGTGGTGTAACGATTGCTCTAACTATTGATGCATTGCATTTTGTTTGTCAATGCCTGATGGTAATACAAGTTAAAATATTACCTATTAATATGTGTTGACATGACGTGAAATAAGATACGGGTTTACCTCTTCACCTGCCTCAAAATGCCTCATCATGTAATAATGGTGATCTTTTGTATCCTCTGTGACTCTCCGGATTTATTGCATATATTCTGTTTCCAGTCTCCTACCTGAAAAGTGTGTCAATCCTGGATTCTAAAAGTGGTCTTGTAGTGCAGACTCCCACGGTCCGCTTATCCAACTGCCACGTCAACAACACCGAGAAAGTAGGACTCACCATCCAGACCGATACCATAGACATTGACCTGAATGGAACAGTCGTGGAACATGGGCGGTCAACAGGTATTTTGACTAAAGTTACTAAACGTTTCCGTCTCAGGAATGGCACGACACAACACAATCAAGGAAGTGGAATAATCTTGTCTGGAGAAATATCTCGTACAACTGTTGACAATATGAACATCATTAACAACACTCTTCGTGGTTTGGAAACACAGTTCAATGGATATAACAACGACAAAATGTTACTAATCAAGCACAACAATTTTTTGGATCATGTTTGGGAAGGGTCGGCTCTTAAACTAGATAAGTATCTTCAGCCAAACAGCATGGTGTCCCTTGAACAGAATACATTTAGTAACAATGTCATGTCCATGGATGTCAGACTGAGTAGTTATTATTACAATTACAACGACAAGAGGTGCCTCATCAGAGGGAATATCTTCAAATCAACTGGCCCAGTATCGGTGTATTCAGAATACTACACATCTGTTTATATTGAAGACAATACTTTCAAGAATTCCTTCGGTGGGGACAAGTGTTTCTTTACTGTGGATATACATAATACAAGGGATAGTGGCAAAACTCAGAATATTAGTCTGTCTACGAATAGTTTCCAAAATATTACAGGTCGATGTGTTGTTTTCGTGAAGTCAACACAATATCAATTTAACGGAACGCTCACCTATAACCGGATATTCAATTCTCCCGCCAGTGAAGCAACAGTCATATTGAACTCGAAAAATGTTAGTCTTCATTATAACACGTTGGATAACCCGGGAGCTGATTATGAACTGAAGATTCTGTTGACTGGAGAGGAGGAAATAAACGCTGAGCAGAACTGGTGGGGAAGTGCTGATGCAGCTATTGCCAGGGAACGAATTCTAGACAAGCGTCTTGACCAGAGGCTTCTTAGAGTAGACTTCCTTCCAATCCTCACTGATCAAAATTTCGATTGTTCGGAGGTGAAGAATTGCAGTGATAAGGGCGAATGTGTTCGTCCAAATGGATGCAGATGTGACGCGGGCTGGGCTGGAGAGGATTGTTCTGACTTTGACTGCTCTGGTGTTGGCAACTGTAATGGAAACGGTTTCTGTATAGGGCCAAACCAATGTGATTGTACTCTGGGATGGGAGGGTCTATCCTGTGTGCTTGCTACATGCCACGAGGTTAACGACTGTGGTGGAGATAAAAGAGGATATTGTGTGTTGCCTGAGAAGTGTACATGTTTCCCCCAGTATAGTGGAGCTGACTGTTCCCAGTGTGCACAGCTGAGATGGGGAGACAACTGCCTTCCTTGCCCTCAATGTAATCATGGATCATGCAACCTCACAAATGGTAAGTAATTAATAACACAATAATGTTCCTGTTTACATGTAATCTCATTAGGTGTGATTTTTAAGACTTGTTTATAAATGACCTTAGTTTTAAATTTATACAATGTTGTACAGTTAACTTTGAATTTCTCGATTTAATCAGTACGTAGTTCTTGTGCCTGCACATTTGTATGATATAACATTTTGAATAACATTTTGATTCAAATAGGAGACTGTGCATGTGTTGCTGAAAACTGGTCAGGAGAATTGTGTGACACGTGCAGTGAGACGTTTTATGGTCCCAACTGCCTTCCATACACTAATGTCCTCAACATCATCCCAAGCTCTGGTCGCGACACTGGAGGTACAGACGTCCACATCTGGGGACACAACTTCCCGGAGACAGAAAACAACATCTTCTTCTGTAGATTTGACTCCACAGTGGTCAGTGGCACACGCCTGTCAAAGGAACACATCACTTGTAAGAATCCTCAGCATCAAGCGGGCATTGTCATTGTTGAGATTTCTCCTGATGGACTACAGTTTACGCGAAATCAGGTAAAAACGTATTCTACATACATGCAAGTGAGAGCGACTGAGAGGGTCAAGTTGTTTGTTGTTTGTCAAGGATATACATTATGTCTCATTCTCTTATCGTCTTGTAGGAACACGGTAGTGTGTATTGTGTGTGTATTTATGTTGGTATATGAGCTAGTAAGTTCGCAAGAAAGGAAACAGAAAATTTAATGTGTATCGTTCCTGTTGTCCAGACAGCTTTCACCTACTATGAAGTGTGTCCACCTGGAGCGTGTGGGAAGACGGACACTCCTCCTCATGGTCACTGTCTCTATGGAGGATGTGTGTGTGTACTGCCCTGGTCAGGGGAGGCCTGCAATGTCGAGTTGAAGGCACCGGTTATCTCAACAGTTCAAAAGAAGCAGTTTGCCGCTGAAGGAAATGAATATCAACTTCAATTAACACTCATTGAGGTAAGTTGTGTTCTTCTTATTATCACAATAAATGTGACATGTCCACATAGTTTGGTAAATGCATTTTCCCCAACATATCTAGTTATCTGTTTAATGCTGGATGAACAAAGATACACTAATTAATGAGCTATTTCTGTTGGTTCTAAATTGAAGTCAGAAGTCAAATCAGAAGCGAATAATCTGTGATGACAATGGAATTACCCCTCTGTGTCTATCAGAACTCAACCAGCTGTGAGACACAGACATGTCTTCAAACACTGATTTTCTGGGATCCATTCAGATAATGTTCATCTCTGCGTTGCCTTTTCTCCCTATTCAATCTGTTGCGGCAGATGTTCGAGACCTGTTCTTCTCTAGGGTTGGCGTTTTGACTGCAATTGATGATGCGCTGGTTTCATACAACAATGAATAACATTATATACAACTGAACCCCCTGGTTACTAGAACGTAGAGATAAACACATATCTTTTATTCATTCATATCTGTCAAACTGAATATATATGAATGTTACCATGCAAATTACCACGGTTTTTTTATTTATATCCCTTAAAAAGCGATTTCTGGACTGTTGTTGTCTAACTCTTGTCTCATTGTCAATGCATTTTAAGCATGAGTCAGGTGAAAGGTGGAACTGAAGGTATATACAAATATATAAATCGTTTCGTCTGCACGAAAGCGTATCATTTATATATTTTGCCAGAATAAGGCTGCAACCTTTTGAGTGGCTTGAAGATTCAATTACTTGCTGTTTAAAGAGTGATTGTCAAGTATGTAGTGATGAAATACCATTGAAAATATCCAGTGTGGTCCTCAATTCACAGGGCAGTGCTCCAATTGATTGGTATTTGTTTGGAGCTCCATCGGGAATGACAATTGACCAAAAGACTGGGCTCATCTTCTGGGAGAGGACGGTAGCCCGTGTCCAGCCATATATCATCAACGCCAGGGCTTCCAACCGTGTAGGACGTTCAGAGGTCCAGTGGTCATTGACAGTCCAGCTGTCATATAACATAACAATAGAAGAGGTGGCGCCTAGTGGGGTACTCCCTGTTCCGAAAAACATACAAATCAGTGGAATGGTTACTTATTTTAGTGGAACAGCTCAATCATTGATTGCTTTTGTGGATGTGAAGTAAGTATACTAGTTATCTTGTTTTATGTATTCATTGACAATCACAACGGAAACTTCAAGTTCAACTTCACAGTTAAACTATCACAGTAATAGCGAGTCAATTAATTTATTTAAATAGGAATCTTATAGTATGGATTGCTTAACAATGAGGGGCGGCGTGGTAGTCTAGTGATTAAAGAGTTCACTCGTTACGCACAAGACCCGGGTTGAATTCCCCACATGGGTACAGTGTGTGAAGCCCATTTCTGGTGTCCACCACCATGATATATATGGAATATTGCTAAAAGTGGCGTAAAACCATACTCACTCACTCACTTAACAATGAGGATCTATTTTCACGCAATGATTTTTGTTCTTTGAAACGTATCTTGTCTGCGAAAAACATACGCATGTGCAACATACTGAGGTGGGGTCTGTTTCAGGGTACGAAATAAAGGCAGAATCACAACGATTTCCATCGTGACATCACCGAGGAACAGGGAACGTTTTGAAGCAGTGTACTTTCCAAAGGCTGGCGACAGTGGACAGTTTGAAGTGGTGAAGTATACTTATATCCTTCAGTTAGGTGACCGGTAAATATAACCGCTCTAAAGCCTTCAGTTAGTGTAACATTATTAAAATACTCTTGACGTAGTGTTGGCTGATGAAAAAACATATTTGGTATCGGTGAGATTGCATGTTACGGTGTGGTCTTTTTAAAAGATTGATTGCATAATTATTATGATTAAATTAATTACTACTTCAGGATGGCCGTCACCCATCCGACAGTGGGTTCACTCCTCAGAAATCCTGGAGTGTGTTGGGGATGACATGCGTGCCTGGGTATGTGAACAGACAAGCCTACTTGGACACGGACGTGGTGGAGATGCGGGGTGTTACTGTACTCAAGAATGATGGAATCAATGGGATCAATGGCATCACAGCTAGAGTGAGTTTTAATGCAGTACCTTCGTGCATGACTTTTCAGAATACATGTACATGTATGATAATAAATTTCATAGACAATTTATCATGTTCTGTCGCCGAGTGCCTTGAAACGAACGACAGTAGCGACCTACATAAAACATGCATATTAGTTTATCTACTTGTCCTGATGACACATTATGATAGAATCAATAGGATCAATGGCATCACAGCTAGAGTGAGTTTAAATACAGTACCATTGTGCATGGCGTTTCAGAATACAGACAGACAGACATTGTTGTCATGTTCTGCCACCGAGAGCACTGACACGAACATCGACAACAGCAAATAAGCATTATGTTGATGTGTCAATAATTAGTCTGTGTTTGTGCTATCAGGTAGAGGGAACTGGTGGTCCACTAACATCTGTAGTCGTGAGAGCAGGAAACAGACTATCAAGTGTGGGCTCTCAACCCTTAATAATATTCTTGGACAAAGATTCTGAAGTGTCCATAGATCTGATCCTGACAGCATCCCGTCCTCTCAGGGGCGTTATTGCTGTTGTGTTCAGCACACCCGATGGCACCACAGCCAGAGTTAGAATAGGATTGCAGCTAAATGTCAGGAAACCTGTTCTGGTCGTCTCACCAACATCACTGTCAGACAGTGTGCCTCGAGGAACACAGAAAACGTTCCAGGTATGTCCTTTGAATTGGAAATTATGTTCTTATTATAAGCGGCAACTTAATTATTACAGTGTGTATTTCTTTCACCGGTGTAGTAGGCTCAAACGACTCCCCCTAAATTTGACTCTTGAGTCATATGGGCCTCGGCACAAATGACTCCCCTAGCCAGGCTCAAAACACTCCCTCTAGCCTCAGCTAATTCCCCTTCTGGGCCCAAATGACACCCCTTGTTTTGAATTAAAATGATTACAGAAAAGATCAAACATATCTTGTATTATAAAGGTTTTCAACCCCTCTTCCTCAGTTTCTATTCTGTGGGAGTCATTTGAGTCTGGGAGTTATCTGAGCCTTCGACGGGGAAGTCGTTTGGTCCTAAGGGGAGTCATCTGAGCCATAGTTATATTATGGTCTATAATGGCGACATCAACCAAAATGTTTTTATGTCAAAAAAAGAATGTCAGGAATGCTATGTCAGCTACATTTTGTAATTCCTGGTTGCTCATGTCAACAGGTGAATATCAAGAATGAAGGTGAAGTCACAGCTAAATCACTCAGAGTAACAATGCCTTCAGAACCAAGACTCACGATGTCTGCATACTCCACAACAACTAGAATAGCTTCAGTAGATGGCCTTGACCTACAACCAAACGAGACGGCCATCTTGGTTTTGACAGTCACGACTGGTGCAACTGATGGTCTAGGGCAGATTAGTGGCAGCGTCGCCCTGAACTCGGATCTCTCATCGGCCAGTATCTCCTACAGGTTCTATGTGACATCCCAGGAGAAACTGAACATCACAGTTCGGGTAGAAGATGAGTACACATACTTTGCTTCTGACAAGCCCTTGGTGTCTGGAGCTGTGGTGACGCTTCGAAACCCTAGAAGAGGGTACACGGAACAGAGAATAACCACTAACCAAACAGGCATGTTGGTCTGGACATATTCCTCAGCATACAAATTCCATGATAATAAATTATCAACGTGGCATAAATTCTGTTTCTTGAAATATATTTTTCGTTAATCACGCATGAAAACTATGGTTGTTTCGAAATTGATATTAACAAAATAAGCCTGTTTTCATATCATTGCTAATACTATTATTTAATACCTACAACAGATGGTTGACATTTGTTTGATGAAACCACTGAAGACCACTACCAGTCATATGTAGTTGTATTTCTTTAATTGCAATGGTTGAGGTGTTCTCTTCACAGAGTTTGTGGTGTTTGGGGATGTGCACGAAGATAAATACACTCTGACAGCCACTGCTCCAGGACATGGATCCTACTCACGGGTAGTCATTGCGAAACCGTCGGACGCCTCCTACACCATTTTCCTGCAGAGAGTTGCTGTAAAATACACCTGGACTGTTACCCGAACAACATTTGAGGACAAATACACAATCACACTGGATTCTACCTTTGAAACACAGGTAAATAAGAAACACTACTGGTACTTAAAAGGAAAATAATTTACCTTAACTCGCTAGTTATTTATTCAATCGGCATGTTCATTATTGTACTTATATTATTGAGGGTGGTCAACTTACATTGTAAGTCAAATTTCTAAAATAATTATTCTCGTTAGTAAGGTGTACATTTATTAAATCATGGAGTTGACATCATGTGTATATGACTGTACATGATTGATATGTGCTAATTATACATGAATCATGTGCAAAGGTACCCATGCCCGTTGTCACCGTGGAGCCAGCCAACATCAATTTGATCCCTTACGAGGAAGGGAAGAGAGACGTGATAAATTTCAACATCACCAACCATGGCCTGATAAGGGCAGACAATGCCAGGTTTGCTCTGCCAAGTCATCCAACACTGATCTTTACACAGGTGAGTATGTTGCTTTTACCTTTAACAACATGGTTACAATGTGTGAACACCATTTCCCGTATCCCCCAACCTCATATTGATGGAATATGGCTAAAAGAATTGCTGAAACTATATTCAGTCACATAATTTCTCTCAAATACAAGATGAAAGGGTAAGAGAGTTGCATCCCTTATCCATGCCAGGATGTTTTGAATACTAAAAAACACTCAGTTTACCATCTTTGATCTAAAACATTCGTGGATTAAATTTTGAAGTAGACTGAAGGGGAATTTTATTGGTGATCGTGTATACTAATCGTAAACACACGACATGTGATTAACCCATTTTGAGATATATTTTAAGTTACATTATTATGGAATGCAAATTACCAAATCACAAGACTTACTTATATCCGTGCTGTAAATAGACACTCTAAGTCACATATTATTTCACGTGGCTTTAAAAACAAAGTCACTTCCAAACTGGCAAACTGGATAAACATATAATTTCAATATGATTTCAAAATGTGCGGATTTGGGCAATCAATAATGAGCCTTTAAAAAAGTATCCAGTCTTTATGTGAAAGCTATGCGTAAATCATGTGATAACATTGTCTGCATCTTCTTCATAGACTATAGATCCTATAGGAGGTGTAGAGGCAAATACAAGCGTCATTGTTCCAGTCTTGGTTAAACTGAAGCCTCGAGTGAAGAGGAACCTAGGCACATCAGCATGTGGTTTGAAAATGCTTTACGATTACTATTGTGGTGGTACGAAAACTGGAGGCCAGGACATCACATTGACACGGGTGTATCCAGGAAGACCTCCATTGCCCTGTGGTGGCGGAGTTGGAGGAGGAAGGGGAGGTGGTGGAGGTGGTTATGTTGGAATATCAGGTAATATGCTTACAGAGATCACTCATAAATATATTCATATATATGTAACAGAATGTAAAAAAAGAAAAAGCATCCCCTAAATGTTCCTGTGATATGTTTTAAGGAAATGGAGTGTTTGGTTTTAGGTACTGGTGGTGGTGGGTCATCTCCATCTAGTTCAGTTGTTGTCTACAATCCCGTGACTCCACTCACCTGCAACTGTGCTGGGACGCTCATCAAGACGTGTGCTTTGGGTTTTCATCCAATTGCTGGATGTGCTGTAGCAGTGACTGGTTTCTCTGGTGCCAGTGGCTTCTGGGGTTTTGCAAAAGCAGTCTTTGACTTTGCTACTGCATGTGTCCTCCCGGTTGCTTGTCCTCAATGTGCTCTGGGTCTAACTTTGTGGCAAGCTGTTGTGTAAGTTATACATATATAATTGTGTTATAAGTAAGGTCATTGTTTATTCAAAGGTTATTAAAAACATGTTATGAGTTAGCAAAACTCATTGTCTCAGACCTGCATCACATGTTGTGCATGGTAGTTCAGGGTTCTCATGATGGTACAAACGTGACCCGAATTATTGAAACATTTTCACCTTTGAAAACTAACTGAAACTTTTCAGTGCAATTAATGGCTTTCATGCCTTATCCTTTCATGGCACAAGTATGCTGGTTTACTATCACATGCACGTATGCTGGTTAACTATCACATGCAAGAAGGATGGTTAACTATCACATGCACGTTCGAAGATTAGAATCTCACCTTGACAATGATAATGCTCCTTTGGAATATCGGCACCATACTCGTGTTCTTGGGTTTCACAAAATGGATTGAACTTTAACCTGCGTAACTTTAATTTGGGCTTTCCTACAGTGTAGAGATATTCTGAATTAATGTTCAAAGTACGACTAATCATTCACTCTCTTCAGGTGCATATACGAAATGAACAGAGACTGTAAATCAAAGCGACGTCGACGTGCCACAAATGGGGAGATCATCCAAGGAGTCGTGAACAGTAATACTGCCCTCAGGAACTACATGATCATGTTGGAAGAACTCTTTGGAGGACAAGAAATGTAAGGCACAATGTTTCCTTTTGGGTACTTTTAGTATTTATCATCCAAAATTGGCTTCCACGATATAACGCTGCAATGAAATTGCACCACAATGCTTTGCAGGCCAGCAAACCGTCATCAATAAACAATGACGTCAGAATCAAATGACCTCACTAATTTGTCTTCCACTGAAGGAGGATTGTTGTAGTTTGTACACTCAAGACACTGGTAATTGCTGTTTACAAATTAACAAGTTAATTTCACCTTTGTGTCTTTTCATATCAAACATATCAGAAAAGAACAGAACTTCATTTCATTCAAGATCATGTACAGAGTGGGTTGAGGTTAGCAGAGGAGCATATTTGATTCTGGATATGACTGTACCACATGTGTTAAAATTATTCCACTGAATTTAGTAACTGTATACTATACACTTATTTTATGGGATTTTAATAAGGAGATCATGCATCCACCACCTATGCCATTACGAATACATGATGTACGGAAACGTCCATCGATATGTATTGGAAAGACATTTCTGAATAAACTGGTCATGGAGACAGGTGGAAATGTGATATTTAAGCCATTTTAAAGATGAAAAGGTTGCATATTAGATTCCCAGTTTGATAACAAGTTGGTGTTGAGATACGTTTTCCCCAAAGTGTTGTTACCTAACATTGCTGTATAAAGGCTTTCAATCGGTTTCTCCGTCCAACATATACACGATGTAAAGGGGGGTACTTTTCATAGTTCATAGAGATCTTTTTTTTAAAGGCAGTATGGCCATTTTCAATCATTGACTTATATTCGAAACTTCATACTTCTGATCCATGTAGTAAAATTGGTGTAGACTAATGGACAGACCCGTGAAGATCCGGGGTAGAACAGGTTCTCAGCAGCACATGCTTGCCCTCAAAAGCGACTATGCTTGTCGTAAGAGGCGACTAACGGGATCAGGTGCTCAGGCTCGCTGACTTTGTTGATGTATGTCATCGTATCCCAATTGCGTGGATCGATGCTCAGGATGTCAATCACTGGATTGTCTGGTCAAGACTATATTATTTACAGACCGCCATCATATAGCTGGATATTGATATGTGCGGCGTTAAACAACAATCAAAACAAAAACAAACTTATGGACAATTTTTAAATCCGGCTTTTCTGCTATCATAGTGCATAGCTTTCATACATATTTCACACTATGCCTTTGTGGTGTACAAAAAGTTACATGTTTTACTAGAGGTAATTTATACATTGTGAAACTTTCATGGGCTACACTGTTTAGCATAGCTACTTTCTTATAATCTTTTTTCCTACCACCAGAGATAAGAACTTTGGTTTTATTGATATGTGTCTTTAATTCCGTTTGTTGCAGCAATTTGCGAAAGTATCAGTTTGATTCGTCTGCATACAGCAGTAGCACGAGTTTCAGAAACATACTTATGACTGGTTTTATCTTCCATGTTGAATACAATATTATCAAAAGTTATCAACACCATTTACGAACAAAGAGAACAGTTAGGTTGACAAATTCTCTCCTTGTTGAGCATATCATGAATTGTAATAAAACATTTGCAATCAGTTATGAAGAATCTTTCTCCAGATACCCACCCTCCACACGGTATGAAATGCGTTTCATTAGTTTCTGTTTACGTGTTTTAAGAGAGAGTTAAATGTAAAAAAGTGATCTGTTGTTGAGCCTTTTCTTAATACAACTTGTCTTTCAGTAAAACTGTCAGTGCTCTCTGAGAATAAAGTCAGCCTATAACTGTTATTCAGTCTAGATGTGAAGAATTTACTTAGACACACAGAGCAAAATAAAGGAGCAGCAGTTCTCAGGAGAGGGCACTGATCCCTATTTTTACAACTGATTCCAACTGATTATTGTTCGAGAATGTTTCCATTTTCTGAAACTTTGTTACCTAAAATAATGTACCTTTGACCTTTATGATCCAAAAGGTAATTTCGCCTGTTTTAATAAAGGTGGCTCTACCCATTAAAGACCTCGTTAACTATATTTACAACATTAATGTTATTGGTCATACTGAATTTCGGACATAATGATTCAGTGTGTGTAATATCAATGTTATCTGAATGGTTCGTGTCCAAATGTCAATCCCACTTTCTTATGCTTCCATCTTGGTCATTATCCTGACAATCATCAGTTGTTATTTTGACTGTTTACAGGCAGACTCAATTTTATAATTTTAACACCATGTACATCTGAAAACAAAGGCTCAAACTAAAAAATCTCGAGTTCAGAAAAGGAGATGATTTTTTCTAGAGAAGCAAACACATAGTCTTCAGGACTAATTCTTTAAAGGTAGTAAACCCTTCTAGTTTTCTTGGCCTGTCCTGTCATTTACAATTTACATGTTGTTATTCTTGCGCATTGTTCGTTTGCATATCCCGGGAGTATCTCGTTATAGGTATCCCTGAATTAGTTAGCTGATTATGCTCACCAGTATACAGTATCGCAGTGAATACATCGGGTACATTGGTGGGAGATTCTTTTTATATGTACATAATCACTACCGCTGGTGTTCAGTGGCTTCCAACAATCACGAACTGATGTATAAACACGCACCATCTGATCCAATAGTTTCATGTCACAAATACAGAATACTGAACGAGCTCCTGTGCAACACCAGTTTGTTTTTAAACGACTGAATAGTTCTGGTATCTGAGGAGCGAATGGTAGTCAGATACCAGAACTATTCACGAGTTTCATAAAGTTGGTATTACATGGAGTTAGTTTATTATTCTATACTCACACGCAAAAGAAACGGTTTAAGTGATTTTAAGCAAATGGGTAACAAACACGGAACCATATATTGATACGAGTTTTAGCATGTAGTGAAGCCTGATGGAAGCCCCGAGTAAAAACGCAACATAAAAAACGAATCGCCAAAACGCACCATTTCAATGAATATGTTGGTATCATGCACCCATTTCTCGCGAAATCGAAAATGCACGAACTGTCACGAACTGTAGTGGGTATAAAACTGTGGGCGATTCTTGGACCTACCACTCCTTGGTCAACAATGCCACGCCTAACTCAAATTCAGAGAAACCAGGCTATCGGATGTTTGGAAGCTGGAGAGTCTGTCCAAGATATTGCCCGTCATTTCAACGTTAACATAACCACAATTTACCGTCTCCTGCATCGATACAATGCTACACAGACCACAGATGACCTTCCTCGGAGCGGTCGTCCTAGGGTCACCACACCTCGACAAGATCGGCAGATTACCCGTCAACACCAGCGACATCCGTTCCTAAGTGAAAGTGCTCGACAGACCATAGGAACACATAATCGACACATTAGCCGGGACACTGTGATCCGACGTCTCCGTTTCAGCATCCTCAGATGTCGCCGACCAGCACGTCGTCCTGTTCTCCAACCACGGCATCGACAAGCACGACTTCAGTGGGCACAGGGTCATCACAATTGGCGTCATCGTGATTGGAGGCGTGTCATCTTCTCTGATGAAAGTCGCTTTTGTATCTCCCATGCAAACGGAAGAGGTGATCGTTTCGCTGACAGAAAGTTGTGGAAAGGTATCCATTGGGTGGACCTAGCGTCATGATATGGGCAGGGATTGGACCCATGTGCTTTCTGAATGTTGGTCAAGGTCGGTGACATGGCGTCACTGCTCAGTGGTATATCGACCAAGTGATCAGACCCCACGTTGTTCCATTTTTTGCACAACATCAACAACACATTTTCCAGCAGGACAACGCTCGTCCCTATGTTGCCAGAGCTACCATGGCCTTTCTGCAACAACACAACATCCGTGTTCTACCGTGGCCAGCCCTCAGTCCTGATCTGAACCCCATCGAACACTTGTGGGATGAGGTTCAAAGGCGTCTGCACAATGTGCGCCCAGTCCCTACAACTGCCGATGAACTACGCACAGCTGCTCTGGATCCACTCTGATCGTCTTATCCACTCATTGTACAGGAGATGTGTGGCAGTGATCAATGCTCATGGTGGTCACACCAGGTATTGACTGACATTTTGGGTATTGACCCGAAACTGTATAAGCCCTTAACATTTGAAAACAACTATTATGTCATCTGCCTTTTAATCCATTAAACTGCTTTTAGTCACATTTTTGTCAATCTTGCCCTATAAATATTTCTCTACTTTACTGTTGAAAATAAATAACATGTATACTGCATACTCGACTTGCGTTTCTTTTGCGTGTGAGTATATTAATTACTTGCCGATTATAGCCTTTTTTTAAAAATCAGTGTTGTGTGTAAATAGGCAGACATCTACACGATCCCCAGCATGAACCAATTGATTTTAACAGAAAACTACTTTAAACACAATAAAAGTTGACTCTATTAATTTAATACCATACAACGGCAATTCAGGAACCGTTCCACAAAGTTATCGTAGCGTTAAGGTAATCGTAACTCCCATACTTTAGGATAGACTTTCGACTATCGTTACGCTACGATCGCTGTGGGGAACGGGGTCCTGCACCACAAAGTTTACAAACACGTCACAAAACCCTATGACACAATATGTGAAGTTTTGTTGCAAGATACACCAGCGAAACAACGCCAAGTGTCGTCAACCTTGCAACAGGGTTGCTGGGGTCATCGAGTGTACATACGCTCCTCTCAATGACAATAGATAAGCCCAGAGATGTTTGCAGTCTTCAATATTTGTTTTTGAACCTAGTTCTCGCTGTACATCAGCAAGCACTTTGGAATTAAACACTGTAATACCGGCGTATTCATGTTAAACAGTGGTATCTTCAACGGGCGAGTAATAATGAGGGTTTCTGTTTTAAGGTTTGGTGTGTATGACAACAGTTGGACGTCTTCCTTCAACCTGGCCCTGGCTGATGACAGTGCAGGGGGAAGTTTCCTCTCCTCCAGTGAGGTCGCGTCCATTGTTTCTCCGATGAACTCAACACAGAGTGAGACTGTTGAGAAGTTCCTGCTTAGGTGGAACAAAACAATGACAGCTTGGGAAGGGGGAACACTTGCTTCACTTGGTCCTAAAGACGATGTCATTGCCTACAATGTCATCATGTCCAGATTTGAGCAGTTTAAGACTGACACAGACAATGCCAAACAAGTAAGTCGGAAAGTTAACATAAGCAATCTCAGTTCAGATTATTTGAGCTGGAGGTAAGAAAGGACATGTGTAGTAGCTTTTACGTATTTATTCATGTACGTTTTTGTCATTTTCAATGCGGGTTGGGAAGGTGGAGTGACATGTCATCACATTGTTCCAATCATGAGCTCAAAATGAAATAACGTCATCCATACTTCATTTCATCTCGAATGTATAACATTACTCGAAACTCGAAACTACTGGAGTCGAGGGGTCGGGGTGGTGAGGGCTTATATCACTCATTCAAGAGGGACATATAATCCATAATTCTTCCATGACTTTGGAAAGTACTTTTGATCGGTCAGAGGTTTCAAATCATAATAATCACCTATTAAACAAGAGTCAACAGAAGATGGTAGCATTGAGATAAACATAAGTTTCGGGTCTTCAGCATCCCATGCTTGTCGTACGAGGCGACTAACGGGATCGGGTGGTATTCTCTGTATATTTGTCAATATGACAGTTGTCTCAGAATAAATAAAACTTATTTAAGATAGCAATTTAAGCAACTAATATAATCATCATGAATCTTCTTTTTCACATATATATTTGCGTCATGTTTTATCACTGTAGAGAGGATTTGACTCTATATTTGACGATTTTGGAAATGCAGTCAATGCCTATCAAGAAAGCGAAAAGAAGGTAAATAAATGTCTTAGATTTTGTATTCTTGTGCATTGTGTATTGAACTTCAACCAAACGTTTCAAAGGATGACATGATAGTTTCCAAGACCATTACATTGAACTTAGTATTTACATTAATATGATCATAACCTTTTTAGGTATAGTCAGTTCATTGATATAAAAGGTCCCACTATGTCAGCGATAACATTGAGAAGTATAATGCTTGCTTTTTTAGAAACAGTCCTATAACCCTGAAAACCCCTATACCGCTAGTAAGGTACTTACTGGTACAAGTTCCTAATTACACTTGTGAACATCTTGGAATAGTACTGGAATGAGAGATTTCTAACGTGTTTCACCCCGTTGTTGCTTTTCCCATTCCCTATTTACATGCAGATCATTCAGTGCAGACCACGTTTGGTATTAATGTTCAACTGAAAATCCATGTATTCTCTTTTCAGAGTAGCAGTGATGATGGAGTGTGTGCAAAGGTTCGAGTACGTATTGTGCAAGATCTGGTTCTCACACGAGATGCATTCACTGCTCGTTTAGAGATAGAGAATGGTGAACAATCAGCCCTGGATAGCATTCGGGTCACCGTAAACATCAGGGCCACGTATGGCGATGAAACATCTACAAATGACAAATTTTCAGTTGGTAAGTATTTCAGTGGACATACTAAAACTCCTATCTAAATCATATAGAATGAAACGTAATGCGTTTAATGTTGTCTTCAAGTCGTGTATGATTCAGGTTTAAGCTATTTGCAGGAATTATGAACTCTCTGTAGGATATTCCTCTGTATGATTCTTTCCTCAGGAACCCCAACACTGGTGGGCCTTACTGGAGTTGATGGAACTGGCAGGCTTGAGACAGATGTGTCAGGTACAGCAGAGTGGCTTATCATACCCTACTCCACGGCGGCAGTCAAGGAGGACACTCTGTATGATGTCGGCGGGACTCTCTCTTACACAGTCGATGGTTCGAACTTCTCCATCCCTCTCCTACCAGACACAATTACAGTAAAACCAAATCCCAGCCTCACTGTCAACTACTTCCAGGAGAAATATGTCCAGGGGGATGACCCAATGACTTCAGAGGTGGTGGAGCCAGTTGTTCCCTTCACACTTGCAGTCATGGTCTCCAATGGGGCATATGGTGTAGCACGCCAGCTGAAGATCACCTCTGCACAGCCAGAGATCATTGAAAATGAGAAGGGATTGTTGGTCGCTTTCAAGATAATAGGAGCACAGTTGGATACACATCCTGTGAGTCCTTCTCTGTCTATAGACTTTGGGGATATTGAGTCCTTTGAGACCAAGACTGCTCGCTGGCTTCTAACATCTACCCTCAGGGGGAAATTTTACAACTACACAGCTACCTTTGAGAACATTAACCCCCTTGGTGATCCTCAGTTATCCATTATGGAAGACCTTGGATATCACGAGTTGGTCCATCTGGTGAGACTCGAGTCTCCAAATGACACCAGAGACGACTTTCTGGTTAATGATATCATAGATGAGGACGAAATGCCTGATGCCGTTTTTGATAGTTCAAATGGATTTTATTCAATTCCAGTAAGTTCTTCAAATGTCATGACCTTCACTTTAGGTAGAACCGAGACAGTGGGGACTAGGTCATATGCTTACGTTGACCTGACTGCTATGATGTCAAGGAGTTCCTTCTCAAACTATACCTACACACGCCTGGTGAACAATCTGACAAGAGATAGCGCGACTGACACACTTCTGCAAGTCACCAGAGATGATGGGAAGAAGATTTTGGTTGGACCTAATGCCTGGCAGACATCCTATTACCATGATAAGTTTTACTTGCACATATTTGACTATCACAAGAACATGACTGAAACAACTAATATCTCTTACTCACTGGTATTTGGACCTAAAAATATGTACAAGCCGACATTTACGAAGAGTATTTACGAGATATTCGTTGCATTTGATCAACTGCCAGGTCCTATTTTTGAACTTCAAGCTACGGATAAGGACCCGAATACGCAACTACGCTACAGTCTTGATGGGTCTTCTGTTTTCACAATAAGTGAACTGACTGGAGAAGTCAGAAGCCTTGAACCACTCACAAATACACTGTATGAACTGACTGTGACAGTAACAGATGATGGCATCCCTTCCTTGAGTAGTTCAGTCAAAGTTGTGGTGAAGGTTGGTGACGACAGCTCGTCGTCCTTAACATCTACCGACAAATCTTCAGTCACAGGAGTTTCAACCCAAAGATCCACCTCCCAGGTGTCAGGAGAAACATCAGCTGTGACTGTACCCGTTAGCGTTTCTTCCACCACCGTCACTGCTACGTCCACAACAACAGATTCTGTTATAAACAGCACAAGTGCTGTAGACGCAACCTCTGTAACTACGGCCTCATTATCCACGTCCAATGAAACTTCAACAGGTACTGACCTAAACGGCACAATTGTTTCAAGCTCAACTTCTGTGTTTGCTTCACCTGGTACTACAGTGTCAACATCTAGGTCGACAAACAACCTGTCCCATGTTTGGATGTTGGTGGTACCGGGAATACTGATATATATGTTACAATAACATACATGTCACTGTGAATATTTGATTTGTCCCATTTGTATATTCTGTCAAAGGTTCGAGTGAGTTAAATGAGCATTGGTTTAATTCTTCTGACATCTTCTCTGAAAGCACAATATTTGATAATACTGACATGTTGAGTGAATGATTGCTGCTTTCTCTTGAATTGTGATAATAGATAATATATTTATGTACGTAACGTTTTTCTGAGAAAGTAGTTGCCGTATATTTTTAGACACATAGTCGTTTCACTTACATTGCGTTCTTTTCGTATTTTGTTGTATAATATTCTCTTTTTTTATCTTCATACATAACTATCGTTGAACGACAGCGATACAAGGATTTTCCCAACAGCAGTACGATATCCGTTCAAGATCTCAACACAAAGTTTGAATAACATTTGATTGTCAGTTTGTATTAAGTATAAGTGCTACGTATCGTCTCATGTACTGTTTATTAACCTGTAATGAACGCGTTGACACCAGCTTGAGACAAAAAAGAATGCGTATATCTTCCTATTACGAATAGGAACAAGTTTCTATTTGTCAAGATTATGTAATGAAATGATTGTTAGTTTGTTTTCTACAAAACTATATCACCGTGGAGATCCAAGATGTAACATAATGTACACATTGCAATTGTAGTATTATCATTTTTTTATATGAGTACAAATGTAATCATACATAGAAAACATTTCAACCTATTAATATTAAATATATTCATTCACCTATCAAATGATGTTTTATATAATATTATGAATAAAGGTTTTTTTAGAATACTCCGTGCTACTGTCTCTGTGAATGTATTGTTGTTCTCATAATCAATCGGCAATGTTCCAGCTAAGTCTGGTGATTCTTCATAAGCCTTGACGTGACGGTCAAGGTTGATGATTTGAGTAACTATCTACGGGACAAGGTGACACAGACTCATCCAACTCACACAGTATAACCACCCGAATGACTCGACAGAATATTCACTTTTTATGAATTCTATACCGGATTCCATATAAAACTTTTTGAACGCACGTGAACGCACCTGTGCCACATACATCTGTTATGAGCAACGACCCACGCCGTCGGTTTTACGCCCATCAACAGAATCACCGACCCTGACCTGCCTTGCACTACAAGTTCATGTAGCGTGGGCAGCAATTGCAGTATGCAGAATACCCACGGGAGTAAGTGTGATTTGAGTTCATGTGAATGTAGCCACAGCATGCGTCTTATGAATTTGTATTCAATTCAAACTGAACATACACATTTACGTTTCATTTATCACTTAGAGGACAAAAACTGTACCCTGTTTGCTTACATTACACCATCACAAAATACGTCAATACGTCTTCTATTTGAAGTATGTTGTGTATAAATACAGCTGAATGTAGGAAAGAATATAGGAGCATTCATTCGTCATGAATGAGGAGCATTATGCTACCCGAGCGTGGTTTGTTTGTTGAAGTTGGGTTTGCCAATGGCTGTCCTGATTCAATGTATATTTACACGCAAGTCGAATTCGTGTTTAAGGGTGTATTTATAGATGCCACTATACTTGGACCTTGATGTAGCGTCATATTTCATCATGTATGTACATGTATAGATGCATATATCTCTTGAAGTACAGGTTTTAAGGAAAAAACGATGAGGGATAGTTGTTTATTGTACAATATAACAGCACAGCACAGAGTGGTTTATACTCCATGCAGTGTTTTATTGTACGATAAATACATACCACGAGTCGTTTATTTCTTATATGGGATATTAACATCATGTACAGCCTCTTTAGAGTGCAAGTCTCATAAGTAAATACAACTTTACAGATTAGGATACAACTTTACAGATTAGGATACAACTTCACAGATTAGGATACGACTTTACAGATTAGGTTTCAACTTTGCAGATTGGGATACAACTTTGCAGATTAGGATACAACTTTGCAGATTAGGATACAACTTTACAGATTAGGATACAACTTATAATAGATCGTAAATAAGGTTCATTTGCACGTTTGTCCTGTCTATCAATTTCAAAGGCTGGAACGACAATTCAGAGGAGGATGAGCCTTTACATACAGGGGCTTCACATTTTGTCTTGGAGGATATCACCTAAATATTAACACGCTTGATCGCACAAGCTACCTGCAAAAGTACCCGCTTGATCGCACAACAAGTCCGCCCTTCCGTTCTCAATCCAGCTGGCACTCCTCCGTTCACGGCCATGATCGCCTGCACACGTTCTCGGCAAAGCCAACATATTCTTCACCCTTTTTACCCCTTAGAATTTTTTCTTTCCACAATTACCAATGAACATTTGTACACTGTACTTTCCTTCGTATGAGTGGGATAAAAGGATTACAATATACTTTTTTTCAACAACAAAATGTGACAAAGGTCATTTGTAACACTAATTGAGGTTAATATTCGACGAGGAAACATGTGAGAAAAGGCTTTTCCGCAGAGATCTACAAGCTCAGATATGGACACTGTTCCCGCTGGGCTTGTTTCGCAATTTAGATCTCAAAGTTGCTAAAACTTGTAAAATGCCTCAGCTACTAATTTTCAGTATCTTAGACTATTGTCTTGACAATAAAAACAATTATGTCAGTAGTTCCTCCAGACTCGCGATGGTTAATTCTGACTATCGCCGATTGACAAGGACGAATCCATGTTTGTTTTGTTTTCACTGAAAGCAGTACCTATCTGACTTTTCATATTTGCATCTTTATATGGCCCAAACTAACCTCTGTCCATGTTGCAGTTAAGATATGTCTTAACAGTTACAGTATGCATACAGCAATATGAACTAGAGTTTGAAGCTAACAATAATCTTAATCCTTCTTGTTCTAGGGATAATTTAGGTCTGGTGATCTTTATATGAGAGAAGACCCCGGTATCTTAAACGGCATTAGTCCGTCCGCTAGTACAGTCACACACGAGAGCACACACACACACACACGAGAGCACACACACACACACACACACACACACACACACACACACACACACACACACACACACACACACACACACACACACACACACATTCATCTAGATTTATGCTCTGACATAATGAATAAATCATGGACGCCTGACGCAACTGGTTTTGGAACTTTCTTAGAGTGAGTGAGTGAGTGAGTGGTTAGGTTTAACGCCGCTTTTAACAGTATTCCAGTTATATCACTGCGTCCGGTTAAATCGTCCGGGAAAACACATTTCCGAAAGATGGCTACATCGAGACGAGAGGGTCGAACATTGATGTTGATGAGGGTTGTGTGTGTGTGTGGGGGGGGGGGGGGGGGGGGGGGGTTGCGATATGGTGTGTCGACCTGGGATATTGTTTCCCCAAAACAAACTCATCATTATTCTGATCGAAAACTCCTTTACTGGGCATGCTTGGTGTTCTGAAACTAATGTATTACGGGTACAAAACCTCCCACGCGCCAACACTCCCAAAACCCGCCTACTCACCCACCCTCAAACTACTTCCACCTTATGTCTGCCTGTGTACACACTCTTCTGCGTAATATCTGTTGAATCAACACATACAACATGTATGTGCACAAATTAAACTGTGTTGCCGATGTGCCATGGCACGTGGAGAACATCACACACACAGTCGTGTCTTCCTGGTTTGACTCACCTTTGATCAAGGAAGCCGTGACAAATTGAAACTTACTTGAAAAGTAGCCTGTTTACACCTACCTCCCTGTGTTTGCTTAAATCAAAGTATATACAATGCAAAACATACATAGCGCCACAAAAGGTCATTGACAGCGAGGATACCTCTTGGTTTTTAACTTAGTCACAAGAGCACACTGGTGTGTCTGCTGTATCCTGTATTTACCTTACTGTGAAATTGTCTTTTTTTAGGCCATGAAACAAATTTCATTTGAAGGCTGGACCATATGATTTTGTCCGCGTTCATACATATTGCTTTTATATTGCTGATGGAGGTAACACCCTTCTATATACTATCTGCAAACATCATCTCAGGCTTTAAAGTATTTAAAAAAGTTTAAGCAAATGCTGGCTGGCCCCAACTCCGCAAACTTCCTGGTGTAGGCCTGACTTGTATGCAATATATACTGAACCGCAAAAGAAACGTCACCATGGATAGATATACTGAGTCAAATTAAAAACTTCACATTTTTAAAAGTAATCCCATATATGATATACAACGGACAAATGTATCAGAGAAGGTAATATTTAATCATAAATGTCCAAAAGAAGGATTTTAATTAACGGTGGTAACCATAATTTGTTCCAAGCACCTACGGTATTCGGTAATAACTTCAACAGTTTAAATCATAAGTCCCAAGCACGAGAATCTGATGGCACACAAGTTCAGTAGCGTGTATGGCCACCATGTGCGTTGACAACTGCCACACAACGCCTCCGCAAGGACCTTGTGATGCTTGTGAACACATGATTGGGAAGACGACGCCATTGTTGCTGCAAAATGGTGCCAAGATCTTGCAAATTCTGTGGTCGGTTCTGGAGAGTGCGCAGACTGCTGCCAAAAGCATCCCAGACGTGTTCGATGGGATTGAGGTCAGGAGACCTTGACGGCCAGTCCATGACGTTGACCCATAAAAGGCAGAAGTTCTGGTGCCAGTACACACTCTTCTGCGTAATATCTGTTGAATCAACACATACAACATGTATGTGCACAAATTAAACTGTGTTGCCGATGTGCCATGGCACGTGGAGAACATCACACACACAGTCGTGTCTTCCTGGTTTGACTCACCTTTGATCAAGGAAGCCGTGACAAATTGAAACTTACTTGAAAAGTAGCCTGTTTACACCTACCTCCCTGTGTTTGCTTAAATCAAAGTATATACAATGCAAAACATACATAGCGCCACAAAAGGTCATTGACAGCGAGGATACCTCTTGGTTTTTAACTTAGTCACAAGAGCACACTGGTGTGTCTGCTGTATCCTGTATTTACCTTACTGTGAAATTGTCTTTCAACTTCCTGTACACAACACTGGGCGTAACGTTCATGACGGCGCCTCCACACCCTCGCCCTACCATCAGCAAATCGAAGATTAAATCGGGATTCATCACTGAAGACGACTTGATTCCAATTCCTCTGAGTCCATCGTAAGTGTCGCTGTGCCGCCAACTGACGTTGACGTCTGTGTAATTGAGTCAGAATCGGCCCCCAGTACGGCCGTCGTGCTTGAAGGTGAGCAGTTCTCAGATGGTTTCGAACAGTTTGCGCACTCCTAAACCCCTAAACAGTTCATTTCTGGTTGATGTAGCCGTCAAAAATCGGTTACGGATGTGACGTAAGACAATCTGACGATCCTCTGCATGTGACGTCCTCGTGGTCGACCTGGCCGAGGGCGTTCAGCAGTGGTACCCGTTTGCTGTAGACGCGTCTGTAAATCATAAACAGTCCGTCGACTACAACCCATCGTCCTTGCGACTTCCCGTCTGCAACATGCCGATGGCACGTTCACGTTGCACATTTGAAAGGCGTGTCATGACAAATGGCCGTAAAGACTTTTGTTTTCTTGTGTTTTTCTTTTTTTGTAAATGACTGCTAACAAGTATGGCTGAAAACACGTGCGGTATTATGGCCACGCGACCAGTTGCACGTGAAAAAACTCTTTTGCCACTATAGTGCCGTGCACATGATTTTGATCGATTCACCTGCACAAAAACGGGTGTTATCTGAAGACAATATGTGGCCATTACTGTTTAAATACACAATAAGGGCCCACAATGATAAGTGGTCAAAATGTTAAAATTTTAGGATTGTGAAGTTTTTA